CCCCGCGTTGATTGTGTATGGTTCTATTTGCCAACTTATACAGTAGATGATACTTAGAGGTGATGATGCCCGGCGGGATTAGCCTGCAGCCTTTGACAGCCGTCGTCTGCGTTAGTTCTTGCAGGTGGAGGCAAGCCAAGACAAGCAAAGGCATAAGGGGTGCACGCCTTGTGTTCCCGCCTGAAAACACAAAAATGACGCCTTTTTCGCGGTCTATGTGGGATTAATCCGTTCACTTCGAAGATCTAAATATAGATTCACCTCTCTGTTTCAGATTCAAATTTTTGTTTCTGTAGCGCGGAGAAACAAAAGCAAAGAGTTACCCCCGTTCCCCGTTTCTTTTCTTGTCACCATTCTGGTTGAAAGTGTATTGACATTGTAAGGAGAAATCACGCATTGGTCACTTCCGGGGTTAAATGTTAATATGTGGTAGGTCTGAGGTGTTTCAATATGCCCACAGGTGAGTTCTGTCGGCATGCAGTAGCCTCAGAAATAAATATGAGATGTATGAGTCGTCATTGTGGAAGTAACAACAATGATGAGCGATTTATCTCTGACATTTAAAAGCATCATGATACATTTGAAGGTTTATTTTTCACATCTGCAATTAATGGTGTGATTATTTTTCAATTACAATTTCCTAACGGAAAGAGTAGTGAGGTGGGATACAGAGCCAGCCGAGTAGAAGAAGATCATGTGCAAAGACTCAAAATAACATGAACATTTGATTTCGTTTCATTTGCAGAGAAAGCGACAGTGTCGGCTGAATTGAACCGTCATCTTGAGCTCTTGGATGAAGAACAGCTGGGTACAGTCATTACTGACTATGTTGACTTCTGTAAGAACCAGCTTAGTGGACAGTTTTCTCCCCTTATTAAAGTTCTGCAAGTCACAAACTACAGAATTACAGGTGAGCAAATGCATGGTGGGCATTTCTATACTAAAATGAATCTCAGATGGAAAGGAACTTCAAAATAAAAAGTTTCCAAGATTAATTCAAAACAAAACCAGACAAACAGGAACAAGAATGTAGGTAAGGATAGGAGAGATTAGAATGGACTGCAAAAAAATCTTGAAAAATATCAGTAGACCCTCCACCGAGTGTTTTCTTTCGATTTCAAATCTTTCCTTTCGTCTGCTCCACGTTCATTCTTTCCTGTTGAAGATAATAGTACTTGAACCTCATTGCTTTTGTTTTGCAGTTATCAACCAATAACTGTATGAGGAGATTTTCTCTTTTCGATGGTAATTTTGTTTGAAAAAAATACACGAGAATCCATGCAAAAATTTCAAAATGGCTCTTTCACGTTTTTATGAAAGTTTTCACAGCAACAGTTATTCAAGTAGTGTATGTTGTATTTGTTGTCCGAGAAATGATTGTGTTGAAGAGGATTGTCTTTGGTGTCGAGTGTGTGACGTTTCTAAAAACCTGACTTTAGTGCTTAATGATTTTCAGTAGTCACTGTCACCAACGAAGGCCATTTTCAGTAGCATCCACACTGAGACGATCACACTACATCGTCAATTCAACACTCGAGTGTCAAAATACGTTAATTCTCTTTTCTCGTGTCACCTTTGTCACATGTCTGCTTGTATTCTAAAGGTTCTAGTGCTACAGAAGACATTGCCCCTTTATTGCAAGCCCTTCCGTTTGGTGTCCTTGTTTGGCAAGTGCTCGGAGAGGCTATACAAGGTGTAAAGAAAACTGTAAATCAATGGAAGACTTCAACAACAGATTTGTCATCCTTTGAGAATGAAACTTCCAGCCTTCTAGACAATTCATGGATCCAGAGCCTCTTGGTGAAGGCCTTAGAAAAGGAGCCTTTAGTCAAGACCATTCCACTTTGCTGCCACGTCCTCTTGTATCTGCGTTCACTTAAAGCAAAACTTGTCGTGATTCGTACTTCACCTGAAAGCTGCATGCTTCGTTCTGCAATGCAATTGTGCTTTGAGCTTCTTCAGTGTCTGTTGCAACGGTTAGCGTCACTTCAAGATAAGATGTCAGAAGGCAAGGCAAATGCCTCGCACGAGACACACAATCAGGGAGAAATGCTTTTTTCTTTACAAAGTTTTGACTCTCCACAAAATTCCTGCGAACCTAGATGCCAAGGATTTTCAAATGTGAACAACATTTACCAAACGATTCTCCATCATCCAGTGATCTTTGACTGCTTTCTTTGGAGGCCAGAACATTCTTTTGTTGGTCATCTTCCCTGGAATATTGGTACACAGTTGACGTATAATGTCGCCAACGTGTTGCTAGCAGTGCTGCCAAGTCTAACAGTTCATCAGAAGAGGATTCTGATGGCTCCTTTTGTCGCCAAGATCTGCAAGGAGGGTATGCTGGAGATTGAATCTGCCAACAATGGAAACGGTAATTAAGAATTAATTAAACAAATAATTTAAATTAAGCTCTATTGGCACGCCCTTTGGTGGCCATGTGACCGATCCTTTGGTAGCTAAGTTTGGTAGTTATCTGTTAATGGTGATTTCGCCTCGCTCTCCCATGTCTTGCCTGAACTTCACATTGAAAAAATTTTTCATGTTCAGAAGAATCTTAATCTGGCTTCCCCTTTGGATGAAGTTTATGTTTGGCATGCTCAGTCAGCAAATCAGAAACCAAAGATACCCTCCTAGGTACTACCTCCTGGCTTGATTCCTCATAAGCATTTATGAATAAAGTATTTAAGTTACTTACCTAACTTAAATGTAGTGAGTCGCAGTTGACACGTGCAGCCTATGTGCGCTCTGATGCCCATCTCTGAGCCGTAGAGAACCCTGTTGTTAGCCAGGTCAGCATAAGTCATACATATCCTACAAACTGATATGATCATTAACATCGAAAGTGTCATGGAAGTCAATAAAATAACAAGTGAACAGGGAAAGATATTTTCTCGTCTTGTCTCGAGCTTTGGCAAAGAAAAAAAGATAAAACAAAAAAAGTATAAAAAAAAAAAACGAAAACACATTTATATTTCATCCTTTACGTCCTAACATCAGTATGCATACTCTCCATACTGTTCTCTATATATTTGCTAAGAAGTGATCAATTTCTTTATTCTCGTGACCTTCATGTGTGATTCAGGGGTAATATTGTAAGGGGAAATTAGATGCTAGACACTCGTAGAAATTAAGGGGTAAAGTCTGGGATTTGCAGCATACTGCTAAATAAGTATCACTAACGATAATTATACCTACACTGTACTCCGCTTCATTTGCAACTTATCAAACGGTTTGTGTCATCCGTAGTGATTTCATCTTCCCAAGCTCTGTACCTTCTTGGTCTTTTTCACGAGTACTGTGACGAAGAGAACCAAGTGAAGTTCATATCACATTTATCTCAGCTCCCCTCCGACATGCTGGTAACAACTGATGCGGTGTCAAGAGACAAAGTTCCATCCGTGTGTCTCACGACTCTGTTGACTTTGCTGGAGGGTGAATCATTTTGTGAAGATCATCTTTCGCCTTTGTTATCTGGGCGAAATCCATTAAAGACAGAAGAACCACTTTTATTGTCGCACTTCAGGCAGTTGGTCAAGATATCGCAAGATGTGAACTGCCCTCAGCTAGATTACACAATTTTAAAACTTTTGCAAAAGTCTATGTTGTATGTAATGGGTTCAACGGCCACTTTCTTAGACATCTGTCTCAACCAATCGACTAAAGCCAAAATTGCTATAGCAGCACACTTAGTCAAACATTGTCCTTCCTTGAGGTCGCATTTTGAACTTCGCTGTTTGGATAAACTAAAGCCGAGGAAGAAGCCAAAAGCACTTGACATTACCTGTACAATGTTTCCAGTGGCGCTCAAGGAACATCCGGCAGAGTTCCTCCCTGTGGTGTCGTCATACCTGTTTTGTATGCGAGGAATAAGCGCAGAAAAGTTAGGTAAGTTAAACTTCATGTGTATGCTGATGGAGCATTTTGCAACTAATTATAAACAAAAATAAGACCAATCTTGCCTTGGTCACAAGCGTTTTTCAGATGATTGAATCGGGCCCAAGTTGTTTTTTAAAATAAACATGCATTTGTCTTACTTGAACTTTTGATGACCCCCCTTTCATCCTTCGCAAATTTTATGTACAATGATGTTCTCACCTAAACTCGATTAAAATGAGGTCAGTAAAGGAAAATATAAGAGCTCAGGTTGTTGACTGGACTTATTCTATCTAGCACTGTTATCTTAGCAAGTTCTGTTTTTGTTGTAGGTTGCAGAACACAGGCAGTTGTGTCCCATTTGGTTGAGTTGTATTGGGCACCGTTGTGGGCGTGGCTAGTTAGTGATAGGGAAGGAATTTCCAAAGGATCAGAGGTGATTTAAAATATAATGCTAGAACTCGGTGGTTTTTAGCTTATTGTCAAAACCTAGGAACAATTACCGAGTCGCCATCACCAATGCACAACTATAAATGATGAGTTAAAGCAAGATCAAAAGCGGAAAAAAACAGGAGTTTAAGTGGTTCTTCAATTTACTAAGAAGATATGATTATAAAGCCAATCACAGCTTTTTAAAATACGGCCAAATCGATCCCTTTCCAAGTTGTGAATCGTTCCTTGTCAAGGGTTTGCCTGTTGGAGTGTTTACACTTGTGGGACACTCACAGCGTTTTTAAAGTTTCTTTAATGGATGACTGAGGGTTCCAGATGGTGAGTGTGCTGAATCTTAAAGTTAAGGATAGCATACTAAAATTTCACAAAATTAAGTTAGCCGATGGTTTCTGAGAATCTCTTACTTGACACTTTAACTCCCAAGATCTGACTGTTAATTTCCACCTCTAGCTACTACGCATTTACTTGAAAATCAGTTACGAGAATTTGGTGTTAAATCAAGATAACAACTTCTACCTAATAAGTTTGAGAATTATCAATACTTGTTTACTGAATAATGTATGGACAATGTTTGGAAAAGTTACCTGATAATAGCTTCTGGGAATTAGAAATAGATTCTTTTCACTTCCCAGTCAATACCTCTTGCAGAAATGCAGATGCTGACATCATTTTTTTATTCTTATTTTTTCAAACGTTCCAACAAACAAGAACGATGAAACACGCAAATGTAATATTCTGTTTTTCACTACAGGAATTAAGCATGGACGTGCTGACTGCTCTAATACTTCACATGCCAAAAGGTTAGTATCTGACGCGAATGCTATGTTTAGGATTGAACGCAGCTACGAAAACAACAAAGTATTCTTATTTCCGCAACAGAATCAGCGTAATAACGTAAGACAGCGATAAATTCTGAGTTTCCAAGAAGAATCAAACCCCAGACTTCCGAGTTCCGTGCAAGGCCTTATATACAAACGAAGAAATTTGGCGATTTTCGTCGATGCTCTCCCGAACTTTTAATAGCTGTACTAAATCTCGTCATTTTCACTGAGGCCTTACTTTCCCTCTTAATTCGTGTTGTGTCTTTTGTCGACGCTCTTACGTTCAGTCGTGTACGTTAGTAGTGCAAATGTTCCATATCTCTATATCTTGAATAACCAAATTGTTGTGACGGCTGCCACATGCGTGCGCCATACAAATTAAATATTTCATGAGCCAACATAGTCAACATTGCTAAAGTGAAAGGTACTTATTTCCTTTCAACTTTCTGGGTACAAGTTTAAGGCAAAGTAATATTGTTGTTAAACGACATTCGCCCGTTGTTACTATGTGATAAAAAATGTCCTGTTCTGATTTCTCCTTTAGATAACAATCTTTTGAAACAGCTCAACGGACTTTTGACAAGAGCTTCTTTGTGGGACAGGTACAGAAATTTAATTCAGCATTTTTCTTATTTTAGATACTTAGTTCAACTTCGCGCTTTTACAGCACACCACTTCAAATTATAATGAATATTATATAATTTTGAGATGGAAACGATGTGACCTTGTTTTGCTGACAAAAATAGGAGCAATAATTTAATTTTTTATCTTAAATTAGCCGTAAGTTGACATGTAACTCTGTCACTTATAATCACTCATCCTCTCTTGTCTTACAATAAGTAAGATTGAAAAATTGATTTCAAACGAATTGGTGTAATTTTAAAAAAAAACTCTAGTTATTGTTGCTCGTATGAAGAAGTAATTGGTATGTTTGCAGTCCTTTAAATTAATGAATGTTTGATTGACTTGAAGAGTGTTTCAATTTTTAAAACAGGCATGTGAAGTCGCAATAGTGTGCTTGGTTGCCAAGCCTTTGAACAGAAGTGAGGCTAAGGTTGACCTTGTTATGATACAAACCTTGCTGCTTTTCAAATGTAAATTACTTTGTGATCATGTTAACTAGATACTGGTCTTTATCACAAAAAGGTCGCCTTCGGCCCAACTCCAAATCAAAGACTTGGCAACCAAGCACAGAACTGTAAAATGGCCTATTCTGCGGCTAACGAGAATTGAAAGGATAAACGCGGAAGGTTTTGTTCTCAATCTTTTCATAAGAGTTTAAGGTTTCATTTTTTTTCTCCAGATACCAGCTGAGAATTTGTCGCCAACTTTTAACAAGCCAATATCGCAACTTTTCTACCAATGAAGATGGAGTGAATATTATCAGAAAATTTTGTTTTGCCTGTATGGAATTATTGTCCAGTAATCTAATTGAAACAGGTAAAAAGCTATTATTTCCTCATTGCAAATTGTCAAATTTTCCAGTTTACTTATCAGCAAATTGCTAGTGAAGGTTTATTAACATGAAGATTATCGGTTCAATTAGATACAAACAGCGACAATGAACAAGTTAGAGAGGACTCTCTGGATTCTCTGGGATGGATTTGCGAGGTATGTTTTCGTTGAGGATTTTAAAAGAGAAAGAAGAACACCCAACAAGTTGTTGGAATTAAGCAGCGTAGATTGTGAGAGAGAGAACAGAAATAGTTGAAGACATAAGTTTTTGTTTTTTTTATCTTGTTATTCAGAATACAGTCAGCATCAGTATCGTGAATGAAGATTGCTTGACAACCTGGAAGAACTTTGTAACTAACTCGTTAAGGTAATGCTAAAAATCATAAAGAGTATACCTGATTTCACCATGTTGGTCCTTGCCTGTTTTACTTAAGTTGTCGAAATTGTTGTCATAGTTACATGTGCGTGTTTACATTGCGATGACAACAATAGCATTTAACTCCCTTCTCCCCCCACCCCCACCCCCACCCTATCATTGTTTGCTGTGGATCTCATTGTATTCAGGACAAGGTTACCGTAGCCATTCGGAACATGTAGTTATAGAATACCATTTCAAAAGGGTGTACAGATTGGGCGATCTTTAGATGCGGCACGAGATCGTCGTACCGAAGAAGTGGGCTTTTACTTTATTATTCCGAACAATCTGAACAAAATGGCTCAAACGGCCAAGAGGAATACAGATCAAGACGTGCACAAATAAACAAGCAAGACGACTTTGCTGAGAAGAATTACAAAGTTTTATTACATGAATCGAAAGAAGACATAACCTATGCCTATCTTTGTCCCAGAGGTTGTCTTTTTGTAGGGAAACGGAGCACGCTATCAAGCATGATGACCGCTCTCTGCACGTAAAAGAAACTTGAGTCAAATCCTTTAACTCTTTTGGTTGCTTTTCAGGTATAAATTTGAAAGTTCCGAAGTTCTTCGAATTTTGAGTTGCATTATTAAGGCCATATACAAGAAACAAGACAAGGGAGAGAGTCTCCCTTATGGACTTTTGTCCCTGGACACTTTGTATGAAATGGTGTTGAGTCATTCTCGGTTCTTGAATATCCTCCTTAGTACTGACAAGAACATGGATGCGAAAGGTAAAGACTGGGATAAGTGAGTAAGTGATTTGCTGGAAGTAGAAAGGGTTTATCTCAAAGTCTTTTCTTTCTTTTTCTTTTTAGGGGCTTTTTCTAGTTTATTTGCATGTTGCGTTTAAGTTACATATCTTACTAAATTTTTTTTCTTCTTTTTTTGTGCATATCTGGAAAAAGTACTTTCTAGGCATAAACCATCGTGTAGCTCCTTAAATTGATTTGCACCCATGTATTCGCCTGAATATGTCTAAGAGATTGACTGATGAACGGGCGAATTGATGGATTGTTTAAACAATTGAGTGAATGATTAATTGATGGATCGATGGGCAGTAATTCCTTTTTTTTGCTTTTCACAGAAAAGCTGGCAGATCTGATGGTCACGATTGTAGAACTAAGTCCTAGTTGCTGCAAGTCTTCACACCTTCCTGTGCTGTTTGCAGCATATTCGGCGACTTTGTCAGCCACAGGTGCACACACTTTGTCTTTTTTGTATTTACTGTTCCTTCACTGATGTCATTTTACCAAATCAGGTCATGAGACCGTAATACGAAGTGACGTACTGTGTACTGGTTTGACTAAGAAACACCTGGAAACTAGTTTAGCGCTGTTTAACTCACACAATGACCAGGCTTCTTAGCACTTTAACTTCCAGAAGTGATTAACATGTAACTTCTCCCTACAATGTACCTACATTATCCAGCAAACATGCAAGGGGAATTCTCAAACTCGTCAAGTAGAAGTTGTTATCTTGACCTTAACACCAAACTCTCGTAGCTAATCTACAAGGAAATGTGTAGCAGCTAGAGGGGAGAATTAACAATCAGATCTTGGAAATTCAAGTGTTTGGTGGAAATTCAAGAATTTTACTGAAAGGAATGATAATTTTACCTCACCGATTTCATTGACCTCTTTGGTCTCGTTTTGTCCACTTCAAAATTTTCCAGAATCGTGCCAGTAGTTGCCAGATTACTTTTCTTTTATGTCGGTGTTACAGACCCGTTCCACTTTTGTTCAAATAAATTCAAACTGGTAAAGAAAACAAAAAAATGATATTTATTTTCGTCGTATCTCTTACCTTGCCGTAGAGTTCCTTTTTTTCCCATTTCCAGATAATGATTCTTAATAGGCAAGCAAGCTTTTAGGCCATATTCTAGAAATAGATTTTCATTTTTTTGCCTTCATGCCTTAGTGTACATTGTACATGACTGTCACCGATGCTATAGAGCTCATTTTTGAGTGAGGAAAATGGATTTTGTATCACCGTAGTTTAGCATGTTTCTGCTTTTTGTTTCCAGATCAGTCTATTTTGTATCTGATGAATTTGTATGAGAAAAACCACATATCCTTTAGGAACTACAGGTAATCCTCGTGTAACTGCGAATAAATACGAATACATTATAGTCAAAGATTCAATACACTGTAGCCACATTTTATCGTAATGTAAACTGACGGATCCGCTATGAGCTTTTGCTTTTAGTCAAAGATTCAATACGCTATTGCCCCAGTTTATCGTAATATAAATTAACGGATCCGCTATGAGCTTTCGATTATAGTCAAAGATTCAATACGCTGTTGCCCTCCTCATCAGACCCATGGGCATTTTTTTACTTCTTGCTGAACACAGGGTCTTATATTACCACTCATTATGAAGTATCTAAGAGTTACTTGTCCTAAAACATATCTTGGTTTATTTGAGATAAGGGTAAAAATCTGCATTTTCGGAATCGAAGTTTGGGATTGCTGGACCCACTCCTGGTGACGTTTCCCTCAAAGTCTGCTGGTACCCATCTGTAGTCCAAGATGGAGAGCCGCACTGTTAGAATTATAAGAAAGCGCAGTGACCCGGCCAGGGCTCGAGCCCAGACCTCTCGATCCAAAGTCTAGCGCGTTAAAGGTGATTACAGATAACGCAAATGTGCCACCACAGTACATTTTCTGTTCCAGATTAAAAATTCAAAGACAATATATCAGTAAGAATAAGCATCCAAGGCGTGTTCTTTAAACAGAATGCTGACTCCAGTTCCTTGAAACCTGGTCTTATACTAAGTGACCGATGAAAACGATTTTTGGGAAAATGGAAATAGTAGCAACTACGTGAAGCAGGAGACTTTTCGGATCCGACACATTGACAATGTAATTCTTTAAAATAACGCTTACTTTAGGCACCCTTTTCTTGACAGACCTTTTCTCTGGGGCCCAGCTGCTGCGCGCCATCATCAAGTCTCCAAGAGCCTGAGTCCATCCCTACTGCAACAACCAACTGTCACTGAAGTGATGGAACAAATGGCTGCCAGCAAAATGTTCCAGTCAGCGGTGTCCTTTCCTCAGGGCAGGCTTTTACAGGTAGGATTTTTTTTGGCAAATGGAACTCTTTTTCATGAAATTTTGGGAAGGTAAATGGTATGTGAAAGCTACAGTGTGGCCAGTGAGGCAACGAAAGTACTGACAACTTGTTCACTGGCGTCAGTTTCCTGCGCCTCAGTTGATTTGTTTGTCTTTACTTTGACTTCTCATTGGCTGATTCTGATCAATCATTCTGATTGGCTGTTGTGAACATCCAAGTTTCATTCACAACACTAAATGAAAGACCGCTGTACGAAACCTCGTCAGCATGGCATGGCATGACTTACATGATGGCTTTCGGTTACGACATAGAAATATCTACCATACTTAAATCTCTAGATCCCTTTTTTTTACAGTTGAAGTTCTTTACTACGGCTAACAATATTGTCCCAATTTTTCCTCTAGCAAGGTTTCTAGCCTGAACGTTATCCATGGCTGTGACTTCACAGTACCTGGTTGTGATGTGCAATCATATTTAATCCAACTATACGAAAACTTGCGACTAGTTAGGCGAATAGCGTATTGTAAACCCGGTATTTTGACAGATTGGGATCCCTACCCCTCTCCCCCCTCCCGCAGTTTCGGAAGTCTCCTGTTCCAAATCCACCCTAGTCTTGTTTTAGGCAATCACCTTAAGAGAACGAGGAAAAAACGTGGGAAGTGGAGGGGGGGGGGGGGGGGGGGGGGGGGGGGGGGGGGGGAGGTTAAGGAGAGCGACGGTGACCGATAGCCTGGCACAAGCCTAAGCGGCCGAAAAATGCGAACCCCTGATCTACACATTGCACTGAAATCGTTTTTAAATCGGAAGGTCAGGTTGTCTTCATCCATTTCTTTTCATTCTTTGCCAGCCTCAAGTCCAGATGGAAGTTGCTTGTGAAGGACTCCGAGATCTTTATGACCCTTGTTTCCTTCTTCCGTTATTCAGCTGTCTCCTTGCTCCAAGTAAGTAAAGTTGTTTTGGGTATTGCTAAGTAAAGAAATTTCTATGTTGTGTTTCGTAAGGAATCCGGGATTGTTTTGGCTTTGCGTCGCTTCGCTCTGTGATTGATCCAGAAAAATCGTGCCAGTCTCTCAAGCATTTAGATTAACAACTAAAACCAATCGCTACGCTCGAGTTCTTCTTCGCTTGAAGCAGGTTGCTTGCTGTTACTTTGAGTTCTTCGGGGCTCTTTGTGATTTGTTACTTTCATGTGTATAGTTGCTGTTATTACTTTGGTTTTGGTTTTGGTTTTACGACACTCGATATTTCCTTCGCGAATGCTCTTCAGTAATTCAAGCTACCTATGATACGTGTGATACCCAAGCACAAAAGAATCACAAGCAACGCGGTTTTAGCGCGCGATAACTGTTCAGTAGTGAGCGTTGAAGAGTGCCAACGAAGCATTTTGTTATCGAGCTTCACTAACTTTCTTAATGATCTTTGGTTCTGTTTGCTAGATTTTCAAGTCGACTGTCGGAAGTTTGTGGAGCAAGGATGCTTAGGTTTATCAGTGGCTGCCCTGTCCTCACGTGATGGAAACATGAGGAAAGCGGGGTATCATGTGCTCAGCAGATATATGATGCATCTTGACGGTGTAAGATTCAGGGAGAAAAAACAGGTTGGTACTCTCTCACTTAGATGGACAGTCAGAAAGAGACAGACAGTGAGCTAGACAGGCAGACAGACAGAGAAACAGAAAGGCAAGCAAGCAGCCAGACAGATAGACAGACTTTCCCAAGACTGAAAGTTATTTCGAAAGAGAATACTAGAAATTACGCTACAGGCTAAAAAAGGAAATACATACATACTTTCTAATTAACGTACTCAAAGTGTAAATACCGGTATGTTCAAAGAAAAGTGCACCAAGTGTTATGAACATCTGTTTCCTCAGATTTTTCATCTATTGACGTATTTGAAGAACAGTATTACTGAAGAGTATTGCCGCTTGTCCTCGTTAATGACATCCTTTTTGGCTCGTGTGGCTCTCATTCTACTGAAACCAGGTCAGTCTTTTATAAACTTCTATCAAAACCGTCTGACAAAGGGACCTTGAGATTCTAACACGTGTCGATCGACCGGAGTACGAAACCTGACTACAAGTATTAAGCAAAATATGTAAGAAAATGTTCATAACGATATGAGCTTCCGCAGATGATTTAAGATAGTTTTTTTGTAACCATGACAGAATGATATAACTCAAACGTTTCATCAATATGACATCTCTTGCTAGTTCTATTACTTGTTGCTGGTTTCAATACTTGTTTTGTTCATTACACTATTCTCGCACCGTAGCCCTTTACTGCTTCCTTCCTCTCGACATTGACATTGGGAAACGCTTTCTCAAAATGTTTAGAATTTGACTTCCTTGACCTGCATTAAATGTGCACCCCCAAAATCTCTAATTTACTAGGCATTGTTGACGTATTAGCTTTTCTTACGCTAAAAAATGATTGGCTTATTTTGTTTCATTTGTATTGCACAGAGCATCCCTTCTACATTATGATGAACAGCTTTTTGCTCCAGAGACCTGCTTTGGATTTGAAGGATTTACCGTTGTTTTACAACATGTTCAACAGCAGTACTATGCAGGTAGGAACACTTTTAGCTCCAACAGTGACCCGAATTCCAAAGAAATAACAGAATAGACTCCCCTTGCGGAAAATATGTAATAAGACTAGAACTGTCACAAAAAGCCTTACGATTTCACGAGAGGGTATTGCACGAGAAATTAAAATATGGAGGGGGCGGTATCTAAGAAGTCAGAGAGCCGGACTCCGGATAGGAACATCCATCTTTGACGGTCCTCATCGTTCAATTGTATTCTGTCCTTAAGAAAGAACTTTGCCTCTTATAATGTCCTTCTCCCTCGTTTGTACGAATGAGTGTTAGCATATCGTCTTCATTTATTTTCTGAGGAGCAAGCAACACTCCTGAAGTTGCATCAACAATTAACAATCAGAGTTTTGGTAGGAGATTTCTATCGCGTTACAATTGATGAGAGCGGAGCCCGAGTCAACTATCACGCATAAAAATCGGGAGATTATGATCTCATTTTTTCGATATAAGTCCAGTAGATGTTCAAAACTAAACAAGATGGCAGGTTTGAGTTTTTATTGAATAACTTTCAAAAAGGTTACGCCCCCTGCCAAGCATTTGAGACAGAACGCTGGTGGATTTAAACATATTTCCCTGAGATCATAGTCAAGAGCAGGCTAAATAAGAGTGTATTTAAAGAAATCTGACCACGGAACAGGTGTGGTTTCTGGCTTTCTACACTCGTTCTCGCATGCTCGCTTCGCGCTTCTTCGCTCAGCTTTCACAAAACGATGGCTGCAAACGGACTAAGCTGAGTACCACATGTAAATAGTCGCTTTCTTATTAAGGGAGTATCCATTCTTCGTTCTCTAGCACGCGACCGAGCGATCCTGGATGCTACAGCTCCTGGTGGATGGTATGAAGGACAGCCCTGATTACTATCTTTACAAACGGCGTCACGTGATAGAGCTGGCACTGAGCTATCACGATTCACCGGTCAGTGATCATCGCTCACAGGTGAGAATATTCGTGTAAAGAGACATCAAAAGACTTACTGGATTTGAAAAAATGAATGTAAATCTTTAGCCCAGGTTTAAAAGCTCTTATGAAATTGATAGCTTTCCATTTTCTATCACCTTTGTGTAGTAGAATGTTAGGAAATGCTTATTTAAGTTTTTTACTCAGCGAACTTTGGACATATCTACAAATATGTAATTTACCCCATATTTGAACTCATTTTTAAATAACGAAGATGAGTGGCTAGAGAATCTGGGACATGTTTATCACATAAGCTAAGGACAAACGCTTCACAAAATTTGTAAACTCGGAATATAGATGGTAAAAATTTTTAATGGAATGTTGTCGTTTATTCGTGTAGACGTTGGTCACTCAGTTGTTGCTCTCAGCTCTGAAGATACAACCGGCTGCATATGATCTGACCAAAAACTATGGCATCGTCGCCTGGATTCACTCTCTGTGTTATAAGAGGTATTCCTATCTTTAGTTTACGGTTTGCCTTCTATTGCATTCTTTAGCAGAAAGGTAATGAAAAATGAAAAAAATATATAAAACAGCAATGTTTGGTTTAGCACCAAATACCCCGATCTAAAATTGTGAGAAACGAATGGCAGACGGTTGGGAGAATTTATTGTTTTTTTTTGTTTTGAGAAAGGAGATCGCTTTATCTTCCGAAATGGCTCATTTCCTCAGCTTTCAATTCTGATTTAACACTTTGAACAGAGGGAAGACGAAACAGAACTGATGGGGTTATGTGTTTTTTTTTGTGAAAACTTCGAGAAAACTTGTCAAAAGTACGTGAACTATGCAATTTGAAGAGCTCTTTGATATTTGTGGGAGATACGGTGTTACAGTGGTTGGGACTCAACTCCTTGTCCGGGAGAAAGGAGTAACTCAAATTACCGTGGGTCGTGGACATGGGGTCTTAGGTAGGAAGTGGTGCGTCGTGGTTACAAACTCGGCAGTGACAACTGAGTTTTAACAAGAAAGTATGCCAGACAAAGCTAAGTTTCTTAGCCGTTTAAAGCTAAGTTTTTTCCGTTTAAGATCAGCGTCTTTGCGAGTGAAGTCAAGGCCGCTGGAGTCGATTTATTGCGAATCTTTCTTTGTTTTAATTGCAGCAATTTAAAGGATATTTGGAACGAGTCATATACTCCAGATTTTTGTTATCCTTTTCCATTCTACTTCGATTCTGTAGATACCCGCAACCATGCATGTAGAAAACACATGATAATTTACATGGCTCATAAGACTTTGACGGTTTTCATCTTCTTTTTTTATCTTTTTAACGAAAAATATTATGTTTCCCTTAATAGCTCTGCAAGACTTCAGACAAGTCTGGACCTGCTACACACCCTTTGGTTTACATTACAGTCTCCTGACAAAGAGAGTGGACATGTGACCGAGGAGGAGAAACCTCGACGGCCTCCAAACTTGGCTCCAGAATGCTCATTAGTGTGCTGGACCCTTCTCGAGCAACTCAGGTAAAGACAAAAATTGTGACTGATTGAGACTATTTATTAACTCGTATCACAAAACTGAAATCGAAGGTTTTATGATCACTCCATAAATTACCCGGCCTGCAGAAGGGTAATACTATCTTCATCGTAAACTAAATATCAATCATTGCCCATGCGTCTTTTAGAAGCCATTCGTTTCTGTTGTTCCAAAAAAGGCTTAAAGTGGTTCAAAAGCTGAGGATCGTTCAAAATGCCTTTGGCTTCTTCTGCAAAAGCACGCAGAAATAACGCGAAATCATCGCGGCCTTTTCTCTCTACAGTCATTCCCTTCCTTTTGTTTACAGTAAAGAGCATATGGCAATCAAAGAACTAAGGCTTGTAATCAAAGATGACTTCGTATAATCAGAAAACACTCACAAATGCGAACCTTGCGCTGATAAAAAGGCCAAAAGGTTTGAGCAAATAAAACTCTTAAAACGGCGACCTCCATAAAATCATGAAAATAGAGAAGGGCCTAATAAGAACCTCTAGTGACATTCGTAATCTAACCAGCAACATTTTAATTTATTTCGTAACTCATACTTTGCTCAATTTTCAGATCGTGTTCAAGTGTGAATTGTATCTGTCGTTATTTACGCCTTCTGGCGTCCGTTTTGACCTGCCTGGAAACCAATGGGAAACCTTCTGGCTTGTCATATGACCGTATTATTAACTTGTTGCGCTTGTGGTGTGAAACATTTCAAGAAACGGTGATGCTGAATCAATTGCTTACAACTTTGAAACTGTCTGGAAAGTGTGACGGGGTTCTAAAAACTACAAATGCACCTCCCGAGCAAGGGCGTGCTGATCTCAAAACAGAAAGTCTCTCTTCATTGCTAGCAGTGCTCTTAACATGGAAACCGTCTGGCGTGGAAACACATCTCACTGTTCGTCTAATCTGGCACTTTGAATTAGCGCAATGTCAAAGAAAAGTCTTGAACTTTGAAACTCCTCTGGTAGGCGAGGACCAAAGAATAAATTGCATTCCTTCGCTGCTGCGTTGGTTTAAAAAATGTCTTGTGGAAGACCTTACGCTTCAAGATCTATTGGTGACAGAGAAATCGGAAGTCAAGCTTATCTTGCAGCTTTTTAGAGTAGTTCCACCCACAAACACAAAGAGCTCCGTACAAATCGGTGATCTCAGACGGGATGATCCTAAGAGCTCTCTTTTGACAGTGATGAAGGAACTCAACATGATTTGTCTCGTTCTGCTTGCTGCTGTGCAGCGAGTCAAACTACAGGATAAGGAAGAAAGTTCACCACAGCCGACAGTTTTCCAGCTTGTATCCAAAGAGCCTTACAATAACATAATTAAAGAGCTCAAAGAAGTGATTTTTCCTTTGCTTCCGGATCCTTGCAGTGACTTGGAGGACCGTGATCATCAAGATCAAGGTATGATATTTATCTAACACCCGTTATCTCATAAAGTAACGAGTGGTGTATTGAATATGAAAGCGATCTTCGCATAAATGAACACTACATAAGCAGTATTGAAAATAAGGCCTGGAAAAAAATTCAGGTTTGTTCGGGATTTGAACCCATGACCTCTTTGATACCTGTGCATTGCTCTTCCGGTCAAGTATGGGTGTCAAGTGACGTCCAGTTCTTTTGGTGTCTGAAACAGATATTTGTTTTCGTCAGAAAACTGATTTTGCAATTTGGATGAAAAGAGTTGACAAGTTGGTACTTAGATTGTAGCACTGTGGGATAACAGACCCACTACAACCGTCCACTCTTTGTTAACATAAAGAATGCGGTAAGTCGACCGATTACAAAGTCACAAACGACTTGATTGCCTCTAGCTTGTTATCCTTACCAGCACTACTCTAAAGGTTATGTTTATTATTTGATATTGAGACCTATCATCAAGCTTTTGTTAAAAAACAATCTACGGTGAAGATATCGGGCTGTTTTACAAAACGGCCTCTGGGTCGGAGTACGACCTGTGTTCTAAGCTTACGACAAACTAGATTCAATATATATATGCACCTGACTTTCGGGTCAATATTACCTATTAATTGTGTTGAATATGTATAAAATACCTTATTTCTGGTTCTCCCGAGCTGTTTAAATATTCTTGGCCTAGGCTTAAAGAACCTCCCCGAAACTTGACTCCCTTTACTCAACTTAAAACACAGAAGTTCCGTGTTGTCGTGCGTCTGTTTTTCAATGGGTCATTAACGACTTCAGTGCGAGGTAAAAGTTGAGAAACTTCAGCGCCAAACACGATCGTGAGGAAAAACGATCATACTTCGCATTTGCCTAAGCCTCCTCTGTCTCCTACGTTTTTCACGCCGACCAAGCAACCCAGCTAAGATGATGCGCGATTGGCCTCTCAAAAGTGTAACTGGTTTTGTATCACGATTTCGTGAATATTTAAAATCGCACCTGATTAAAAGTAAACGTCTCCCTGCAAAACGGTGAATTAGAGTCATTATTCACTTCATGTTTGATAATATTTTTTCCCACAGACCTTGTTGTCCATGAACTGGTGTCTCTTTTCGTACAAGAGTTATGGTTGGAAAAGCCTATTCCTCGACAGTTTCTGTCAAACTTGCTTTATCAATGTGATAATGGATACCCTGTGGTCAATTCACTGATTCTAGCGTTTGGTGGAGAAAAGTCCGTTTCGAATTGGATAAAAAAGGATGATTCTTGAAAGCTGAGGCTGCCTATAGCTTCAGTTTTGCATGCATGGTGGTGTTAGAAATGAGAAAAATTGAACTTATTTTTTAGGTGAATAAGCTCCTCGGTCTATCTTAGACTGAAAATGTTAAAAAAGTAAACATCAAAAACCTTGGAGGGTGATAGCAGCAGAACCTTGGTGATGCAGTATCAGGTAATACCAACTGCAATATCTCTGCTGCAGATAAAAATAATCACTTGGATCAATGTATTTTGGTTTTGACTTGTCAAAAACTTTCAAAACGAAAAACTTTTTGTTTTAACAAGTGCCCCATGTACAATAAAGAAATAAGAACTCACTGCAAGCTTTGAATTCAAGTATAATTTATTATGAAAGTCAGATCAAAATTCCAGAGATGTGCTTGTGCTGCTGTCTTCTCTTCCAGAGTTTGAATCTGCCCCACAATGAGCACTGCTTAAGACCTCAATCTGAATAAAGTACAAGTAAATTAACTGGTAATTCATACTTACTCATAAGACAAAAATATAAAAGCACAAAAAAGGAGTACTGCAGTGGGAGAGTGAAAGTAAAAAAACACAACAACAACAAAAACAGATTAAAGTCCAAATTAAAGGGGTAGCAGATGATGAAATCAATTTCAGTCTCACCTGACACTTTTGGTCTAAAAGTAAACTTTTACCTGTAGTTTAGTTCATCACTTTAACATTATCAACAGGAGTCAGTTAAATTATGAAATACTGAAAAATCATCACAGTTACCTGAGCTTTGGTTGTTTTTCCAATTCCCAGCCTAAGAAGAAATATATATATTGGACATTAGAAAGGGAGGTGAAATATATACATTGGACATTAGAAAGGGGGTGTTCTTATGTTTTGCAAAGTTAAAAATTTTACTGAGGCCTCCAAAGCCCTCAACAGATTTTGAACACATTTGAGAAATAATAGGTATTCTGCATGTTTTCTGAAGATCTTGGTCTATGCAGAATGTGAGAATCATACTGCCTCTACCTCCATCTTGCATTAACATTGCTTGTAAAGATATTAGATTTCACATGACTGTAAGGTGCTATTAATTTACCAAATGAATAAGCCTTATCTCCACTGCTGTGTAGGTTAATTCAACACCTTGGCTGTATTGTCAGAAAACAGGACATTTTTGGGAAAACTCCTCTAAAAACAAATCCTGATGTAGTATTAACCCTTCAATAACTTTTTTCCTGCTAAACCTTTCTTCAAGTAATGTGACTAGTACTCTTTACTTAGGTAATCCCTTGTTGAGTCCTTCTAGCAGCACACATGCTTTGCACAATGGTTGACTTGATATATATCCACATCTCTTACAAAAACCTAAAACAAATGAAAGTTATCCAATGGATTTAACTTTTTCTGGTGCTTGCTCACACAAACAGAAACCTACATGTACCACCAGGTATAAATAAAATCTATGTGCAGTGGTAGCCTTATTAGATAAAGCTCCAACACACAATACCTCCCTAAGGACACCTAAAAGAGTGAAGTCTTTATACATCCTAAATAACTGATGCTGTTAGAGCTCATCCTGGTTTTGTTACCTTGAGTCTACTGGTGGTATAAAATTGAGTACAGTATCACACTGGTCAGTGCTGTTTTGTTCTGTACCAGAATGTAAAATCACAATTTCTTTCATAAAAGTAATACCTTGTACTGGCATCTTTACATCTTTTTTCACATACAAGCTCTCTCCTGAGTGAATTATGTCTGATAAAAATAAATAAGATGACATCAAGAGAGTCTGATGTATTCTTAATCCAAAGAATTTCTAACAATAGTCCAATGTTCACAATCATCAAATTACTCAACTTTGCCTCCCCGCTCTGTCAGTATTCTCCTTTTCAGGCCATATCTGGTAAAATTTACTTCCTGTAGTACCTCTTATTACAATTTAAAATTGCTCATAATTCTTGATAATTAACAGGTAAAAGAATTACTCTTCAAATTTGAACATTTTTTTTACCTATTGTGCTGAAAATAAGGCAGAAACACTGTTCTGTACATTTGGTGAAGTCCATGTAGTATTATTTTGAATGGATTCCAAAGTACAAAGTAAATACTCTATCTCATTTGGTTGTGTCTTCTTGGTATTTCATTCAGATTGAAAGTATTACATATCCTATTTGTCCAATGCCCTTGAATATCCCAGAATTCACTCTCAGTCTACTAATACCCAATTATTATCTCTCTTGGAAGATCTACTCCTAGTTTCATGACATGCTTGCAGCCAAACACAATCATTTTGATATACACATTTTGATGGTGATTTATTTCCCATTTCGAGGCCATTTAAAATGTATGCATAAATTACTGAACTCAAATTCATTACTAACTCACCCAAGATTGAACTTGGACGTATTTTCTCCAGATCTTTAAGATATGTTCTGGCATGACCCCTGTAATAAATGATCCACATTTAGTTGGTACACAGGTCTGGCAAATAATTCCCCTCCTCCCCACAAAAACATCACCATGTTTTCAAAGCCTTACTTAAGATAATAGCTAATTACAAATTGGTACATTACCATTGATGGCCGTTAAATCTAGATTGGGGCTTATTGTGTCCAAAACATTTCAGCCCAAAAACTCTCATGAATACAGTAATTAACTAGAATGACCCTCTTATTGATAACATTTCTTCTTGAAACAAAAAAATAGTTAGGAGTCAAATTCAGGTTTTAATCACAAGGAAAGGGTCAAGTGCATGAAAGCTCTTGGGGGAACATTCCAAAACAGCCTTAAATTGTAACAATCTGCTTACAACTTGAGTCTGTCTACTAAAAATTAACTTAACTGACAGTACTTCTTACTGTACACCACTCACAGAGAATATGACAGCACATGCTTACCTGTAGGCATTTGGAGAATAAATACACTCTGTAGAAAAGTAATCCAGCTTTTTGAAGTATGCATACCTACAAAAATGTCATTAAAGTAGAAAGTTAATAGGAACTTGCAGTTAACACAAAGGATAAAATACTCACCAGTTAATTATTGAGTTCACTTTGAAGTTGGCAAGTGAGAGAGACAATGAAGAGAACACTCATTTAAAAAAAAAAAAAAAAAAAAAGCCAATTTCCTCTCTGTTGCTCATACACTCATCTCCACTGACCAGAGCAAGGCTAGCCATTAAGTACAGTGTTTTTGGAATGTTTGCTCCCTATTTTACAGAATGTGAGAGATGCTGTGGCCTACATTGTTAGTGTGCTGGACTCCAGGTCCATAGGTCTAGGTTCATGACATGGCTGGGTCATTGTGTTGTGTTCTTGGGCAAAACTCTTAACTTTCATAGTACATCCCTCCTCCCAGGAGAGTCAGGCGTATAAATGGGTACTAGCAAATTGTAAGGGAAGCCTGATGATAAGCTGGGATAAGCTCTGGCTGGGTGGGCCACTTGGCTCAAGTGCAGACTTTTTTAATCTTACAAAGAGAGCATAATTAGCATCAAAGATATAAATAGTTTGCATGTTCAGTTCCTGATGTTTGTAGTCAATATCAATATCAAAGTGTGCATCTCCTTTTCCTTCTTCAGTAACATTGTGCAAAGACACACTTAAAAAGCGTCATACTAACATTACTATTTCCTTCTCATAAGTATACTTGAATGGTTTGCAGCGTGGTAATAAGCCTTCTGTACCCTAAGTTCAATAGAATAGAAAGCTTTTTTAGACTTATACACACACTGTATTTCCTCAAATAGGCACCCACACTCTGAATAAGCATCCAGTCCCCCTAAGCCATAATTTCAAACTAGCATCCCCCTTACTTTCTTAAATAGTGGAGATACAAGGAAAACCTGTTTCCATTGCCACTTTAACTATCACTTTTTAAGCTTCAACAACAGTAAAATCAGTACAGGAGAATAATTAGGGCACCCATTGATTAACCCCCTCCTTCCAGTAAGTGCTTCCCCTTTCAGCCAAAATTTCAAAAAGACACTTGCGCATTTATTTAAGGAAATACCATACATAATGATTAAACCAAGAGAAAAAAACATTCATATTGTGATGCTAGTTAAATAGATAAAGAAGCATGTAGTTTTACTGTGATAATAGCAGTACATCTTCTCAGTCGAGCTATGTCCCCTCGTAAAACTAAAATAAAAGTGAAATTTTACACAATTAGCATCCATCCTCTTCATCTTCACAAAAATAAATTCACAAAACAATGTTTAAATGAAGTAACAAGTCTGACACTTGAACAAAATGTTTTTCCTTACTTACTATTCATAATAACTGTTTCTGCTATATCATCTGCATTATGACCTGCAAAATCAAAGTTAAGAAACTTGTTATCACTTCAGGAAAGCCCTTAAAAGTCAGCCTAAATGAAGAGTTCCACACATGTAAGCATGCACTGTTTGAAACGCTTACATGTATGTAGTGGAATACAATTTAATAAAATGAAAAGAACAAAAACAAGTCACCTGCACATCACTTCTACACATAACATATAGATTATGTAATAGAAATCAAGGTTTCTGAGCCAATAAATATTGTTTTGGAGAAAAATTTTCCCATCAGGCTTCAGCAGAGTAATTTGCAGTTATGAATTTACATATACAAGAGAGACACTTCTTACCTGTCACTATTTTATCAACCTTTAAGGCCATTGCTCCTCTGTCAAGAGCCTGGCGTCTAAAAACTCCACAAAATGTACCTGCATTAATTCAAGTTAAAAAAAAACAACAACAACACAAAAGATTTATAACCTTGAAACCAAAATTTTGAGAACATATTCTTATAATCTTGACATCTAAGGATATGAAGCTATGAACATGCAACAAGCTAAAAAAAGTGAGGCAGCTTTAAAGTGACAGTCACTGACGTTATGGCACAATAAAAAAATATATTTATTTAACCCTTAAACTCCCAGTAGTGATAAACATATATCTTCTCCCAATGATATCTGTAGATTGTCCACAGGATTGTCCATGAGACTTATCAAGTAGAAGTTGTTATCTTAATCTAACACCAAATGCTTGTAACTAATTTACTGGGAAATGTGTAGCAGCTAGACAAGAGAGTTGAAAATCAGATCTTGGGAGTTAAAGGGTTTATGAGCTTGTAAGAACATAATTTACAGCAAGTAGACTGTATTAATCCAAGAATCAGCCTTTCAGCCAACAGTAACTTTCAAAGTATCATTTCTAGAAACAGCACTCATCAATATTGTCAACTTTATGATTCATTGTTCTGCAGTAATGATAATAATATTCAAAAAAGAAATCCATACTCACAGTTATTTTTTAGTCCAATCTGTTTGACAATAGCATCCATGGTCCAGCCATAGAGTTCCTAACAATGATGGACATTAAATATTCTTTACAACCTTTACTGTTCTTTATCAACCATAGACACATGAACGTGAAGGGGTTTTTTTGCAGCTTAATTAGTATATGTAATCACATGAGGCCAAGTACTATTAAGGATTAATTGCACGAGAGTTTTCAAAATTTTCCAAAATTGCCCGAGTCGCGAAGCGACGAGGGCAATTTGGAAAATTTTGAAAACTCAAGTGCAATTAATCCTTAATAGTACGAGGTCTCATGGGATTACTTGTTTATCAATAAAGGGCAAAATTTATACGAAGGAAAATCACGCGCAGTCTATTTTTAACAAATTTCAAGATAACGAATGGTTGCTATGCAACAGATTAGCCAATCATTAACAGGTAATCATGCCCTCTCTTGATTACTAAAAATGCCCTCGATTAAGAAAAAATGCCCTCTCTCTCAACCAATCAGCGCTCAGTAATTTTGCCCTTTATTGATAAACTAAGAAATACAGACACAAGTCATAAGATCAATGGTTGATGCCATGGCAAATGGGAAGTATTAGATTTCTCCCACTGCAAATCAAAGTCCTGTGCCCTCACACTGTGAAGAAGCAGACTTTTATGAATTTAATTTGCCAATGGTCATATTCTCCATACTGTCATCAATAAATTTCCAATAGTACTGACAAGGAGAATTTGTTTAACAATCAGAAGCTTCTTAAACTGGGGATCATTTCCTTTACTCTCACGACCTTTACATTTGATTCAAGGATGACAATGTAAGGAGAAATAAGAAGCCAGTCACTAGTAGGGGTTCAAAGGATTCTAAATTTATTTGTCAGGAAAATATTATCAATGTCCTAAAAATTAAAAAAAGCACTGACTAGCTTAATTAACATACATGTACTAATGAAGCAAACTGTACCAGTAATGATTAAAAAAAAAAACAGAAAAACAAAACCAGTAAGGATTACAATGTAAGCCCTTCTCACCTCATAAGAGACAATCTTCAATGGCAGTTCATACTGCATTTCATTTCTCTTGACTGTCTAATAAAAACCAAATTTTAATTAAAAAGACTATTGTTTACTCCCTTTTTTGAACTATTATATGTCATGAATCAATCTTTAATATCAGGTGCATGTAAAAAGTTATGGACCCCACATACAATAGTAAGATTACCTGACAAGCTTAACCCTTAACCCTGTAACTCCCGTGAGTGACCAAGAGAGAAATTCTCCTTACAATATCAATACAACATCAACCAGATAAGTGATGAGGATAAAGAAAAATATCAATTTGGGGATAATTAGTTGATCCAATACTAAATTCTCCGAACTAACATTATAAGAATTGTATATATAGTTGACAGTAAAGAGAATTATCAATTTGAACTAAGAGGTAAAGGGTTAACACTCCAACATCAGTGTTGATATTCTCCATACTGGTATCTAAACATTTCTTTTGGTGCCGACAAGGAGAATTTTTGTAACCGTCAAAGCTTCTTACAGGTTGGCAATCATTTCCTTCATTCACATGATTCTGCAGTATTATTTTAAGGAGAAATTTGATAATAGTCACTCTTAAAGCTTAAGGGTTTAATTTATCATTACTATAACAAATTGAGATTTTTCCTGGTCACATAGAGTAGGCAAGTTTATAATTGCAAACAATATATAACTTCAAATAAACTAAACAAAATTTCAACTTACAGGTCAGGAGTTAAACCCTTTTAATCAGCGTTTTACATACAAATCATTTATTTGATGTGTGCTTACCTCCAAAGAGTCATCTCTGTAACCAGTTATTCCTTCATCCACAGACAATAAAATCAATTTTAATCCATAATCATATTCCTGGTTGAGCTTTTTCAGCACGTATGCTAATACAGTAGAATCTGCAAAGAACACAACAGAACCTACATTCAACTTTACTATTAAGTACTGTATGGCAGGCTGTTTGAGCCAGAAAAAAAGGTACTTAACCTGTGGTATAAATGACAACCCAAGAACTACTTTGACACCATAAAAAAAAAGTTTTCTGGCCTGTTGACAAACTTGTTAACTTTTAGGTGACAGTATGTTAGTATGTTTATTTTTTTCTTGTTTTTTTCCTGGCATTGTTATTGACTTCAGCTTTGTCTTTGTCCAAAAAATCAGGAAAAAAAACTTGACCATAATAACTAACCATCTTGAGAGTAATATCTTAGCAACATTTCAAGTGGAAAAAATGGCAAAATCAATATTTTGATTTAATCAATGATCAGAAAACAAAAACTATCGGTATTTGACTTGTTGCTTTTATGTACTGGTAGCCTTAGACTACGAATTTTCACTGATTACTGGTTTCCCATGGTTGGATATTATTCCAGTCAGAATGCCTATCTTACAGAACCAGTCAAGTAGGTGTTGCTCTTCACATTTAAGTGCTACTCATACTGTCGCCAATGTTTATTTAACATGAACTTTTAAATTTGACATTAAGTTATGCCAGCTTTTTATGGTCTTTGAAATAGACCCACTGAAAGAATATACCACCAACATGAAACTGCAGAGATGATTGCTTTACATGTACCTTTCCCGCCTGATGCACCAATAGCAACAACTTGCCCTTTTGAAAACAACTTATTGGAGATTATTGTGTGGTGGACTTCTTTCTCAAATGTGACAAAGAAACAATCCTTGCACAAAGCATCACCCTGTTATGGGATGACAAACAAACTGTGAATTACAAACAACCATTCTGATGACTTGGCAGGCGTTGGGACAAAATTGCCTTCGTGATTGGGAAACAGGATAATCCTGCAGTTGCGCAAGAACAAGGGTAGATTTAAAATTTGTTTTCTGATCATATCTCTCTTATATCAAGTTTATAAGCTCAGCTGATTATTTTTTCAATTCTTAGTGACCTCTTTGCAGATAATATATTTAAAAAGTGAAGAGAAGTTACAAGTTGATCACTTCTGGGGTTAATACACTAAAAAAAATGCCCTTAATTGGAGATGGAAGGGGAAGTTGAATATATCCCTCTTTCCTAGGCTGACTTTGTCCAGATCCCAGTATCTCATTTGATTTCAAAGCAAATTTCTAGTTCAAGTGTTTAGTATACACGTAAATAGCATTCTTTTTCGAGTTACAATTTTACCACTTCAACGCAAGAAATAGCTTAACCCTCTACACCCTGAAATCAGAATACATATTCTTCAAACTCTCCTGTATTCATCTCCTTTGGTACTGACAAGGAAATTCGTTTGACAATCAAATCTTCTTAGGTTGGCGAACTTTTGCTTTATTCACTTGACCGTAATACAGTAATTCAGCAGTATTACAGTACGGAGAAATTAGATACTGGTCACTATTAGGGGTTAAATGCTTAAGGAAACATAATCATAGAATAAGAATAACTAAAGCGTCACGGAGTAATCATCGTGCGCATCAGAACTAAAAAATTCGGCTAGCATGAAAATCATTGTCACGTCTGACAACTTCCGTCGCGAAAACCGGCCGGTTGATGGCACATTCTAAAATTTCGAAACATAGTTGGGTTGACAAAATCGTTTTTCCTTACCGTTTTAGGTCGCTTTAGAATTGCTTTATTACCACAGATCTTGCAAGAAAGAGGCATCCTTACTATCAGATTAAGCGCTGGTTCATCACATGTCCGCCATGGTGATTTGTTTTTCGCACCCAGTTCCTATCTGGCACACACCATACTCACAACAATGCCTGGTTGATTTTTGCTTATTCAACAACTTTCGCTTCCACTCGGCAAGGACCTGTTGAAGATCTTTCCCAACATCAAATGTTTCAGTCTCTCTACAAGAGAGAACAAGCAAGATGTCCTACCTATCGCTTTTCCCAAGCTGAGCGAACGAAACGCGTGCGATCTCTGAAACTCAGTCAAAATGGCGAGATTGAATTGGTCCACAAAACGGGGATCAAATGTATTGATATCGATGCAGGCGAGGGAAAATACTTGTTATCCTCGAGTTCAAATGGCGGGATCGCTATTCATGATATAGAGGATTGTTTCTACTCAAACGTTTTTAAATGCCAGACGGTCGCCAAAGTGGACGGAACACTGAAAGACAGCCACAAACTCAGCGTGGAAACTGTACAGTGGTACCCGAATGACACAGGAATGTTTATATCAAGTTCAGTCGATACGACGCTTCGAGTTTGGGACACAAATGCTCTCGAAGTTGTCGAAAATTTTCAACTTGAAGGCATTGTTTACCAACACCAAATGCCAAAGAATGCTAGAAGACATTGTTTAGTTGCAACAGCGTGTGAAGACTCTAGAGTTTATCTTTGTGATTTGAAATCTGGTTCTGCAATGCATATCCTAAAGGGGCATTCAGAGGCAGTTGTTTCTCTAGCGTGGTCACCAAGAAATGAGTATCTTTTAGCTACAGGTAGCTGTGACAACAAGGTGCTCTTGTGGGATGTGCGCAAAGCTGTTGGAAGTATACTCTCACTGGATCAGCACAATGGCAAAGCTGGTTCCAGATCTTCAACAATAAACACAGCTCATAATGGCAATGTAAATGCCATTTCCTTTTCACCAGATGGATTATACTTATTGACTTTTGGAACAGATGATCGGTTAAGGTTGTGGGATACATTCACAGGAAAGAACACACTGGTTAACTTTGGTCGAGTTCACAATCCCAGTCGGAAATCTGTAAAGCTTTGTCTATCCAGTGGGACTTCCAATGAAGTGGCATTTGTTCCTTCAGGGAGCAAAATAGAAGTGTATCAACTTGTTACAGGAAAACATGTTGCCACTTTCAGTGGTCATTATAACAATGTTAACTGTTGTGCATTTCATCCACATTTTCAAACTCTGTTTAGTGGAGCAAATGACACAAATGTTTTGGTTTGGCTCCCTGAGATGAATCGTAGTACTAAGGATGAAAACAATAAGGTGACAGAAGCTGGTATCTGTGATACAAAACAACTTGACAATCTTTATCAGGATTCTTGGAGTAGTGACGAGGAGACAACATGATAAGCTTACAAAAAAGTGCTAACAGCCATGTAGTGGTGAATTTGAAATAAAATAGAGCTAGGTTAAATTAGTTTAGAGTAGATCAAATACCATAAATATTTTGTAGTAACTGAGATAGAACAAGCACCCTGACCTATGGTTTGTTGCACCATTAAACCCACAGAAAATTGAAACATACAGTTTTCTGTTTTAAGTTTTTTTTTAAAACAATAGACTGCAGCAGTGTAATAATCCACTTGGGTTTTTGGGAGAACACTTATAAATCACTAGGTGGAGACAAGTGATTTACAATCTTTTCTTGATAGAAACTGACAGAAAGTGTGGTCTATTGTTTGAAAGATTTACAGTGATTCACCATGAAACTTAATAACCTATGAACACCAGGAATATTTATGGAGTGTTCTTGTGTTTCTGGGAAAAGGTAATGTGCAAACTGTAGCAGTATTTATTTCATGATTTTGTTGTTTTCCCAGTTACTCATAGAGATTACTTCATAGAAAGTGCACTGGAACGATTTTTATTCTCGAGTTGCAATGCATCAAAAAAACCATTGAATGGGCACAGCAAATGAGTGAGTTTTTTTGATGCATGGCAAAGAGTTCAGGCACATGCCATGGTATGATGTTTTTATATGTATTTCATTCAAACTGAGATTTTTTCCTTACTGACTGACACATTTCAAAGATTAGAAGCCAAATCATCTTGCAAGTAATTGTAAGTACTGGTATTCTTTAGAAGTCACAGTATTGTAACTTGATTGCAAATAAAAGTTTGAGCTATAAATACTTATGTTTATTGGAAGTTACTTAAACATTATCTAAGTGGCTGTAAGTTTTCAGATTATTGTGTACGTGTTGTAAGTGAAAAAAAAGTGACATGTAAAGAAAAGCTTCATTTAAGTTACAAATTTAAGGTCGAACTTTTTTTAAAACCAGCAAATTTTTTGTTATCTGATGTAAGAAACAAAAAATGATTCTCCATGAAGAGCATAATCAGATGTGATTCCTGTGTAACCCAATACTTCATCATGTATACATTTCTTGGATGGTTGCGATTCACTTCCGTGACGTCTCAACTCACTGACAACCAACTAACCAACACCGTTATAGTCAACTCAAGGACACCACTGGTAAATTTTTCAATGTCAACTTGCGAGAACTTCAATCAACTTGCTGTCACTAATTTTTGTTACAATTTGTTATGTTCTGATAAAAAAATTAGCTACCACTAATTATTATTATGCTCTAAATCAAAGTTAAATCGGATCCAGCTCGAATAAGTGTAAACAAGGTGAATATATGCAATGCTAAATAATTAAGACAACAAGGAAGCTTTCAGATCATGGTAAATAATTAATAATAATAATAAATAATAATAATAATTAATAATAAATAATAATAATAATAATAATAATAAATAATAATAATGCTAAATAATTAAGACAACAAGGAAGCTTTCAGATCATGGTTGAAGGGTGAATACAAACCAAACTTATAACACTTGACTGACAACAACTCTTCACTTGACTCTGATGATGACTTCCATTCAGGTTGTCAAAACGTCAATCACTGATACTGACAACATTCCTTCTCAGGGCTATCCTAGCTTTATGCAAACATTACTCATACTACACAGTTAAACATCCAGTGAAATTCAGTAATGATAACTTTCTTTCATTTTCTGCCATTTGTTATGAGAATTCATGGCTTTAAATAAATCAAACAACTAACACTAAACATTTGTTATGTTTCACTCTAGATAACTGGCGTGAAAATCATGGTTTATCAGAAATTCACTGAGTTAACAAATTAAAATAGGTTTGCATTTGCTGTTTGTTCAAAGAAGCTATTGACTGAAGTCTGACTGAATGTCAATCTCGGATTTAGCTCTTTTTAAAGGTTAAGTCTCAGAAAAAAAGGTATGTTAGCGAAGTGACCGAAGATATTGACGAGTTAAAAAAAACTAATGCTGTAGGAAAGTTGACTAATGGCTTCGGCGAGTTAATTATCCGGACAAGTAATTATCGGCGAGTTGGCACGATGGCAAAGTGAGCAGACATTTAGGAAAAACCATGGATAGCCTTTAAAAATTACGGCTTTGTTTTAGAATGGCATGGGGCTATATTTCCCATTTCTCAACTATCACGTTGTAAAAGTTCGAATGAAACTGTTCTTCTCCCCAATCGAGTTCAACGGGCGTGAAGTGTTAATCGCACTCAGCCAAGAGAGGGACCCGTGAAAATCACCCGAAAACTGCTCCTTAAAGTTTTCGGATCCTTCGAGAAACGAACGCTCGTGGAACCCCCAGGCTTCCGAATCAATCAAGGTCGCGTGCGCGTGCCAGTGTTATATAATCGTGCCTAAAAACGTGACAAAACGTCGTCTGTGGAGTGGTGAGGTAGGTGTTTACGTTGTTGTTGCATGATGCACAGGTTGTAGATGTCGATGTCTCTTCTGAGCGCACTGTAGATCTCTCAAAGAATGGATAATAATTTGGAGCTTCGAAAGGTCGGCGAGGAGATGACGACGGGGAAAATTAGAGAAATTGATCAAGAACTCGACGCCAATCAATACATGGATATCGACGAATTCATGGGAGTTTTACGAGACGTCGAGTTGATAACTCCATTTGGGAAGCTTGAATCAACGGCCGCAGATACGGTCCAGATTGATGATAAAGCTGTCGAATTAGAACATCGTTGTACAGAAAGGAGTGATCATAGATGTTCGGGAATTGGTCGAGACTTGAAGACAAAACCCACCGTGCTACAGGTTGTAGAAACAGTACTAAGCTCCCACAAAAGCTCATGCAAGGCACACTCTCCTTGCTCGAAACAGCGCACTCAGAAAGTTTTAGAGGATGCCATAATGACAAATTACTTGTTTTGTTTAGTTAGTCAAAATGGAGATTCAAGCTGAGGTTTGTCGTAGGGCTCTGCTCTTCCACCGAACACCGATGGAACCGTAGAACCTGAAAATTGGCCCTTTACTGATTACATAATTTATGAATAACTCTCTACGGAATCGAATCTTCAACGACTCAGCCCCTCGTTTTACTGTTTATTTGAGGCCTGGAAGACCAGAAGAAAAACTCAGAGAAGTATTTATTATTTGAATTAACTTTAAAGGGTTTTATCTGATTCAAGGAACCGATTTCTTCACCGTCCACATGGACTTATCACCTGAGCTTGCGTTTGACTCCAATAGTGACTACAACGTACGTCTTTCATTTCTCTTATGTGGATCTGCTTAGAATTTTCTCACGGTTGTGAATTACCATATAGTCGTTCTGTTCTACAGAGAGAAAGTCTGGTTACTTTTAAATTCAAGAATCAAATGTTATTCAAGTAAGTTAAATGTTTCCTACAGGCGCTCTCGAACGCGTTCAAGGCAAGCGTTAAATCATTACTGTTCGCATATAAATTCTTTCTTTTTTTTTTTTTTAGGCTGATGATAATAAATTTTAGAAAAGAGAAATTAATGATAGCGTTAGCGAGGGGCTCCGGACATTATGTGCACGCAGCATCTCACGCGATATTCACGGTTATGTAATCTTGCAAAATTAATTCGTTGAACTGTTATGCAAAAATTTTTATGTCTAGTTAGAGAAGTAAACCTCCCATTATCCTCGAAGATTGTCAAAAGATTTCTTTTATTAAAATTACGTGTTTTTTCTCGTGTCGGCTTATATAACAGTTGGTTCTTGTGAGGTTTCACTTGAGGACGAAAGCTCACTTACATAACACACTTCCAAATGTATCGAGCAAAGTACATTGTAACTCACAGTGTTTTGTGACACACAGCGCCCAGTGCTATGAAATGCCTTGTTTGTTCAAGATTTAAGGGGACAAAAGTTGAACTCTAGCACAATAGGGTACAATAATTTCTAAAATGCCCCCTTTATCGATCACAGTGTGAATGTATGTCTCAATATCCCTTCAATGTAGAGAACAAAAGAAACCACCTTTAGTTACTTCGACATAAGAATAATGATTGCGAGCGAGTTCTCGTCCACACGCCTATGGCCGATGAACTTATGATAATTAAGGGAAAACACGTTATATTCAGAGAAGATTGCGCTCGGCGTGTGGAAACAGCGTGTTTTGATAAACTGAACCAAAAAAATACCTAAATGAAGTCTCGCGCACTAGTGTGGAAAAAAGTCAGACGCTACTCAGCTTATTTATTTGTCTTTTGCTTTTGTTTTCTTTCAAAGATCATCCATATTAATAAGCTATTTAAAAAGTACAGTAAGGTCATTCTGTCACCGACTGTATTGTCCATGCAGTCAAACGGAAGTGAAGATGCTGTGATGTAAATACATGGGAAAAGATCACGCACATGCGGCACGTGAGGATAGCTCTTGGTGAATCTCTCAAAACGTGCGCATGATACCCCCTCTAATCATCTCGTCATGCTCTAGTTTGTAAAGAGTTATTGAACGAGATGGAAAAACAAATTAGTAACCTCAATAACAAAGCATAATGGAAAGATATTTCGGTCTCGCCAGTCCTTATCATGACTAGAATACGAGGGACTCTGTTGATAATGTGTGAAACTCGCGCGCGTGAAACTCAAACGCAAGGAGAGGCCACACGACTTTCTAAGTGTGGCTTGTCAGCGAGTGACAAGCTTAGCGTGTTGATGGATGCCCTTCGACTGAGTGAAGTCTTGAAGCCAACCCAGGATATTACCAGTGGCGAACAACAGAAGATTTTGTAATTTGTTGAAACAAGTCGATGAAGACTTGACTAAAGGCCTCTTTCGCAAGAAAAGTGTATGGTTAAATAGTCGAGGTGATTAGATGGCACTAGTTGTTTTGCAGGAGCAATCAGAGATCATGACGAAATAATCTGTTATCGCCTCTTAATTGGATCGTGCCCGTCCTAAATATAAATCCTAGTACATTCAAAAGGCCTCTCATAGGAAGGCCAGAGAAATGTTATACCACGGTTTCTGATCTCCCGGATAGTGAAGTATCGTAACTGGTGTCATTCTACCTCTTTCTATCCCTGTCGGCAACCCTGACCTCTAATGCGCTTTACAACACTGCGGATGATTTTTGCCAGACTGCACCGAGCAGTTGACAATTTTAGAGAGTGAATTTGCAGATGCCCTCAATTTTTCAATCTTTTGAAACAAGGCCAGACCACAAAATCGGGAGCTATGTTCAGTACTCTTTGCACTAAGTGTGTGGGGTCTTAACCCACTAATTACTGTTGAGAAGATGCAGTAGACAGGACCTACGGCGATTTTACGTACTAATTTGAAAGGACTAGATCGTCTAACCATTTGCAGATGTCATAGCGGCAAATGCAGCATATTACTAACCCTGAGTGTTAGGCCGGTCCACAACCGAAGAAAGCCGGTCCTTTTGATCAGACAAAACATTGGACACAGAATTTTTTTGCGAATTATGTGGGATCTGAATGGTAAAGTTCTAATAAATTTCACAAGTATCATGATTGTCAAAAATTTGGGGATTTCACGACTAAAACTAGAATCAAGACACGTGGGACGAGATGACAATAACAAATGGAGGCATACTCAGTTTTTTTGGGATTCGGTGAAGTTGTTCCAACAAATATTCCTGAAGACGAGTTACTGAAGGAATCAAGCTTAATCAAACCTACGGAACTCTAAAGGAGACAAAAAGAGACGGGAGTTATTATTGACGAAGGAATTCATCTCAGAATGAAAATTTCTTAATTATCTCTTTAACATTTTAACTCCCATGAATGACTAAGAGAGAATTTCACCTTACAATATCATTACAATATCAAGAAGACAAGTGATGAGAAAAACAAATATATACATATTTATATATATATATATATATATATATATATATATATATATATATATCAGATAGGGGATTGATAGTTGATCCAATATCAGATTCTCCAAACTAACGTGATAAGAATTGTTTGGCAGACAGTGAGGAGAATCACTAACTGGATGAGATCTTAGGGGTGAAAAGATTAATTCGAGTAAAGGAAGTAACGCGGCGAGCTTTTGTCTAATGATCCAACCAAGAAAAACATCAATATTAGGGGGGGAGAGGGGTGTCAATGTGCTATGTTACAAGAAAAACGCCAAAATTCCCATTTGATAGACAGTTTCAGTGGCGGATCCAGACCTTGAGCTAAGGGAGGGGGGGGTGGGGTTGTCGCTTGACCTGCCGGCTTTTCTTCCTTCTGCAATTCTTTTTTCTTTCTTTCTTTCTTTTTTTTTAACCCAAAATGAGGGGGGCTCGGGCTCTCCGGGTCCCTCCCCGCCACTGGGTTTGTTAAGAAATATTGCTCACCACTCATCTTCGAGGAAACTAGCCTACTTTGTGCGGGACAACTTGACGAGGGCCGCAAGGCTATGCTTTCTCGATTCCTCCTGATGTCAAAGGCAGGTTTAGTTAATGTGGATCATGCGACACAAATAAGTTTGTAAGGATTATGTCAAAATACAGCTTTACCAGCGACCTGATTGGCTAAAAAAAATGCGGTGGGTCTTTGTAACGCATGAGACAGAAACCTAACTGCAACTTAGAGCATGAAACCATGACAACGTGACGTCAAAAAATATCACAAAGGACCGCTTTGATTAAGGCTGCAATTACGTATTTTTTGGTCGAGCTTTGAAGTAACCATATCGTTTAGTTGAAAGCTGGTTTACGCCTTCTTCGACATTGATTCTGTTCGCGAAGAAAAAAAATTGTTCATTCACGAGAAAAAATGAGAATTTACCTTTCTGAAGTTTTCGCAGCAGGCTTGTTTTGGTTATTTCTATCGAGCGCCATCGGTGAATACAACACGGATGAGAACGTAAAAGAAGTGAAAATTGGCGTTTTGGTACCAATGACCGGTTACTGGCCAATCGGCAAAACATCTGCGTCCGCTATTACCATTGCAGTGGACAAAATCAACAGAGATCCCACTCTTCTCCTAGGGTACAACATGACGTTTCTATGGAATGATTCCATGTGCTTAGCCGCCGAAGGACTGAACCAAGCGGTGGAGTTTCGAATTTCTGGAGTGGACGCCATCATAGGAGACGGATGCGACATTATTTGTGAACCGGCTGCCATTTTAGCGGCGTCGTGGAATCTGCCTATGATATCCTGGGGCTGTGAATCGAGTAAGCTATCAGAGAAAAGCATTTACTCGACGTTCGCCAGAACGGTAGGATCTTTCTCCAAAATGGGCGGCCTGTTCATGTCCGTACTTGGATACTTCAAATGGAAAAGTATTGGAATTATAGCGTCTACAGAGAGCATATGGCAACTGGCCATGACTGGCCTGATGAAGGTGTTTTTACAGCACGATATTGACATTCGCTATATACACACTCTCAATCCTGGGCATGTACTCGTCACGGAGCGAGAGGAGTACAAGAGCGTGTTGATGCTTGCTAAAGAAACAGCCAGAAGTAAGTGAAAAAATGGTTTAAAGAAAGGAAGAGGGCTCATTTTTTACTTTTTTGTTCCTCTTTTTCAGCAATTTTTAAAGCAATCCATTGTTATGATGGAAAAGCTAACAAGAAATTGTTCTTTTCGTTGTTTAGCTCCCCGAGAAATAAGATCTTCTGTGGCCCATTCATTTTCTGCAAAATATGTTTTTCTTGTTTTAGCCAGTACCTATGCCACCAAAAGCTGTTAATTTACTCCAGCGGGTAAATCAGAACGACGAAATGAACTGGGGACTATCGGGAATTTGGAAAAAACAACAAAAACAAATTAAAAAAAAGAAAATGGAAAGAGTAGGAAAACTGGCCCCAGCTAATGTTGCATAAGATAGCACATAGCGTTAGCACATAAATAACATGATTAATTAAAAGATAATTAACTACGATAGATGGAACCATTAATAACCATAAGAAGCAACAGCACCGGCGCATGGAACAAGCTTTCCCAGTTTCTGACATTGAAAAGGGCCTCAGTGGGACAAACAAATTTTCACTGTTAGCCATGAGCTAAGTTAACCGTAAAATATTTCCTTTTAATCACAAATAAAGGTAGTTAATCGTGTGTCGCAAATGGCCAAAATGTTAACCGTTAGTCGTAAAACCCATCATGATGTATTTTACTCTGCCATAGTCTTTATAATGCTGTGTTACGGAGGCGATATAAGAGCTCTAATGCTGTTCGCTCATGATCTGGATATGCTCAATGGAGACTATGCTTTCCTGACCGTCAATCTGTTGCCTTCTGCCGCCATTGGAAACAACACCTTCATGGGTAATGACGGCAGAGATGCCGAGGCTGCGCTGGCGTTCAGGGGAATTCTGAGCATTCATGTTCGAGAGCCGACCACAGAACTATGGCAACAATTCACGAAAGAGGTTAAAGAGAAACTCGAGGACTACCCCTTTGAAATTCAGCTTGATCACAGTGAAAAGGTATGAGGAGATTAGGGCAGATTGGGGCCTAACGAGGTTTAGTAGTTGGTCCATTATGGAAGGGTACAGATTGGTCAAAAATTGGCAGAAAACGAGATAATCTTAGAGAACTTGCTTCGGGAGCATGAAGAAATGATTAATTTACGTGTTCAGAGACTATAAAGAAAATGTTGATATTTTATCACCGACTCATGTATATTTTAAAAAAACCATTTCAACTCAACTGAGGTATGCTGTCCGCTAAATTGCAGAGACTGTCGATGGCAATAATATTGATGATAATAAAAAATAATTAATCTAAAACACGAATTGAAATAAGCGTTTAAACTAAAAATGTTTCAATTAACCCTTTACAACCTGACATCAGCATGTATATTCTCCATACTGTTCGCTATACATTCCTCCTGAGACTAACAAGAAGAATTTGTTAAACAATCATGAGCTTTTTTTAAATGGCGACCGTTTCCTTTATTCTCGAGACCCAGAAGTTTGCTTCAACAGTGATGTTACAAAGAGAAATTGGTTGTTAGTCACTTTAAGGAATCAAGGGTTAGGAAAACAAAAACCATATCACAAATTTTTCTCTTAAATGTTACAGATCAGGTCGCCTTAGTTGTTTGTTCTCTCACTCTATTAAGATTGTTATTCCAAGTCCATAGTGTTTGATCGTGAGCAGTCACCGAATCCCCATCTACGGTTTATCCACTAACTGCGTTCTTTTGCGGTGTAGGTGGAGGTATACGCTGGAGCTATATACGATGCTATTTATTTGTACGCCATTGCGCTGAATGAGACCTTGGCAGCTGGAGGGGACAAAAAAGATGGACAAGCTATTGTGCACAGAATGCTCAACATGGAATTTGAAGGTTCGTGTTTGTTTGACACCGAAATAGTCCAAGTTCCATATGAAATAAGGAACTTGTGCGTTATAGAACTTGAACTTGTGCACGAAATCGAGATTCTTTGAGGTAGAAAGAAACTGGGTCGAGTGCATGAAATCGAGATTCTTTGAGGAAGAAAGAAACTGGGTCGAGTGCATGAAATCGAGATTCTTTGAGGTAGAAAGAAACTGGGTCGAGTGTATGAAATCGAGATTCTTTGAGGAAGAAAGAAACTGGGTCGAGTGCATGAAATTGAGATTATTTAAGGAAACTCCTCGGAAGCAAAGAAAGATTATAAACTAGTCATTTTAAACAGTTTACAACTGTTTGATGCTTAATTTAAAATTTAAACATCAATTTCCGAGTTCTTTTTTCGAGTTCGCATTCAAGATTGCTCCTTTGTTTCTTTATGATTTTGAACACTTTTAATTTGGTCATTTTTGATAAACCAGGTGCCTCGGGGACAGTTCGAATCGACGAATCGGGTGATCGTGACCCAGATTATTCTCTCAAGTATTACGTGAATGGAAGTTTCCAGAACATCGCTGATTACAATCACTCCACTGGAGGCTTCAATTTAAGAGGTAATCCCAGACGCATCGAGACAGATCTATTCTCAGTTGAGCGTCACATGTAATCCACACCACCCTCTCAACTAATAAGATACGTAACTAAATCCAATCGCTTCAGGCAGTTAGTGTTCAGTATTTCCTTCCCTAAAACATCGAGCTTTGGCCAGTCGTGTCAACACGGCCCAAAGAAGCAATGAAAACCAAAAGCCAATGCAGTTTTTTTGGCTCGAGATTCAATTCAAAATCTTCATCATACATCTACTTAGATGATGGGTGGGGAGGAGAGAAGCTATTTAAGAAATTCCTGTTGTTAGTAAGAAATGTGCTGATGTGACTTCACTTGATAGACGTGAGAGTGATCTGGGCAGGAGGACGCACAAATCCTCCTCTTGATAAGCCAAGGTGTGGATGGGAGAAAGAATTGTGCCGCGAGCAAGGAAGAGAAGGTAAGAATGCATTCACTTGCTGATATCGTATCAGCGTGGTCAAAAGAAATTCTCTTGCGAGAGTTGTAAGAAATCTCGGATTGCATATATTTCGTTTTTCTTCCCCATGCGATAGTCGTAGAAAACTGGTGCCACCCTCTCACCTGGCAATCAGATCCTAAAGTGGAAGCAATCTCCACAGTGTCACTCATGCCGGTTTCCGAGCTTTTAGCAGTTCGCTTGATTTACTCCTTGGTTCCTCGTGAAAATCCTCTGGCAATTACTTTGCTTTTGGTCTTACGACACTCACATTAAACCTCTATGACTTCAAGTACATCTGCAGTACGTCTGACTGAACGACATCATCTTTCGATTTAGTCACCAGGCTTAAGAACACATCATCTTCTTTACATTATTCTTCATTTTTCCTCTCTTTCAATCTAGCAACTCAACAGTTGGTCAATGTAGTCATTGGAGCATCTACCGCTGGTGTCGTGGTGTTAGCACTTATGTTTTTCCTCATCATCAGGTAAGTAATTTATTCTCTAAACCCACAACATTACGATTCCTATGCTGCATATACAGTTAACACGATGACTCCCTGAAATCTAGTAACGCGCATGTGACGCCTCTGTTCCTGGTATCCAAAGTAGGAAGCGATTTCCGGCATTGCATCCTCTCCCCAACCCTCCCCCTCTAACCCCCCCACCCCCACCCCACACCTCAAACCCCCACCTAGATGGAGGGATAATCCATTGCAAGTTCTCCATGAGCATTATGGATTTGTTTCCACAAAAGATCACGATATTCTCTTTGTTTTCGCGTTAATTACTAACGCATGCTCTTAGTAGAGAAAGACGCTGAAGTGAACTAAGCAAACATACATGCAAAACTCCCAGATTCATCACACAAGAGAAACTCTATATTCTTAGGCAAAGTCTTCAATAACTAAAAACTTAACTCAAGAATAGAATTTTTTTTATCTCTGACAAAATATAATTTGAGTAAACTTATACGCTTGCAGGAAACTTCGCTATGAAACAGATCTGGCGCAGAACAAGTCATGGAAACTTCGTTATGATGATCTGCATATTCAAGATCACAGTGGATCAGGAGAAGCACAGTCACAGGGAGTGACAACTTTCAAGCGGAGTCCATCGACTGTTCGTCCCCTTCCAGTGAGTTTCCATGTTGTAACCATTTTGACAATATACATGAAAAAATTACGCGCGTCGGATTGGCTGAAAACGAGTGCATTTTTCGTGTCACATGAGTCCAAATTACAAATACCGTACGTGTGCTGGCAAAATTTCGTTCGTCTTGACTTCATGTGATGCGTTTTTCATGTAAATTATTAACAAGTAACCTAATGATTTCTCGTACAAATTGGTGTAAATAAGTCAAAGACTAGACGAGTACATGTAGAGACTGCATTCCGATTGAGTGTCATAAAACAAAAACCAAAGTAATCACAGAAGTCAATCAAGATAAAGCAAAATATCATACAGAGCCAGTGAGAACTTAAAGTGGAAAAAAAAGGTTAATAGTTGAACGATCAGTCTGATCTTTCGAGTTAGAGTGGTCTAGAAAAGGACCGTAACCGGTAAGTCCTCGAAAGTCATAAAATTTGAGAAAAACAACAACAAAAAAAAAGCGTTTACTACCTGGTCGTTTTCAAAGTATTTCGCGACTAAATTCTCGATGTTAAGTCAGGGAAATGGAATTCTACGATTTCAAAAGAGGGGTAACCTTTCATTTCACTAACTTGACCTTTCAGAAAACAGAGACCAAGGAAGAGTTGAACGTGAACACGATCAAAGCCGTCAAGCCTTTCACCAGTCCACTGATTCAAGAGGAGCAAACTACAGCCGCCTCCAACGCATCAGCAAACACAGAGCAAATCTTCACCACAATCGGAAACTATCAAGTAAGAAAATTACGAAGCCGGGACGGTCTCGTGGGTAAAGTAGCTATTTACTCAAAGTGACGGAGAGGGAAGGCAATACATCAAGCCAGACCTTTTGATACTAAGGACCCGTCGTTTATTTTTTTCGCAAGGGGGGGGGGGGGTAGTGGAGGATTTAGGGGGGTCATATGGTTTTCCAGGGGGAACGAACGAGGGATCAGTCGTTGCCAATAGAGTATAAGGGAGGGACTATGGAAGATCGACTGCCAATTAACTGCCACTGAGGAGGTGGTTCATAAGAACATTGGAGGAACGAGGGACCTTGCAAACGTGAAAGTCGGTGGATATCATTGAAAAATACGAAGGTAGCGCCTGTTAGGTGTTTGAGAGCCATATTTATCTAGAAATAGAAGTTCGAAATGTGGTTTAATCATTTGGGTCTGATAGCTTTGAATTTTCTTACATCTGTTCGGCCTTTTTCGCTTTTTTTTAAGGGTCGAACTGTAGCAATAAAGCGGTTGAACAAGAAAACTGTTCACATGACTCGAGAAATTCTTATTCAGCTCAAACAGGTTAGTAAATATATAAGCCTTTAGAAATCCACTGTCGCACAAGTTGTTTTAGAGTATGGATAGAAATTCAAAGAACTGTATATTCCCTTAACATTTCAGAGATATAAGTGAAAAATCGCAGACTTGTGAGGTGTTTCTGTGATGAGTTCATCATGATATGGTAACTGGGGTGTTACAGCTACAGACAACGGTCAACACCTTTTCTGCCTGAAGCGGGATTTATACTCATGACTTATTCAGCGTTTTATTTTTTCCTTTGTGAAAATTAATATTCTGATCTATGCACCTTAGTTTATCACCATGTAGTCACGTTACATTATGACGGTGTCGTAGTGCACAGTAACTGAATAACACTTTCTTTAAGGTACGGGACATCAGCCATGAAAACCTGAACCCCTTCATTGGAGCGTGCATCGAGTCACCCAACATTATGATGGTTTGGTCGTACTGCAAAAAGGGAAGCTTAAAGGTAAGTACTTATACAGTTTTATTGGCATTAACCCTTTAACCCCTTCAATATAAAGGAAATAATCACCAACTGAAGAAGCTCTTGATTGTTAAATTCATGCTTTTCATGGAATGTTGTTCATTTATTTTGATTAGGACGTCTTGGCAAACGATGAGTATAAGATCGACTATGGATTCAAACTGTCCATGGCCATCGACATCGCGGCGGTAATGAGATCATTTATTTTCTTTTCTATCATGCCAATGTGTAACCGTATATTTTTTTTAAAAAAAGTGTTGTAGAAGAAGTTTAAATGTGGTGATAAAATCACGGGAACACCCTCCAGGGACTATTGTACTGCGATTTTGATCCCATCACATTTCGAAGTAATCCGATCGAGGTCTATTTTTGTAGTTTTGGAGCGGGTCTTTGTTTTAACGCCTGGGGGAAGAAGGAAAAAGAAGGGTGGGGGGGGGGGGAGGGCGGGCTGGAGGATTTTGGTTGTGTCACCCGCACCCCCCCCCCCTCCCCCTTACAGTTCTGTAATGAATAGTGACTGGTCTCTTATAGAGAGGAGTCAATAAGTGTAACAAAATTAATATCTTGGTTGTGTTCTTCTTTAACCGGCATTAAGAGGCTTTTTTTCAAAATTGTTTTTGATGGGTAATCATAGCAACAGTACCAGTTGTGATAGTTTATCAGAGCAAAAGTAAACTCTGTTGAGTCATCAGACGTAACTATGTGAGCCTCACTTTCATTATTGGCGAGAGATCAAAATTGACAAATTGGAGGAGAGGCTCAGAACCAATACTGAAAATTTCAGAAGGTCACTTTAAGAGGTGATCCAGATTTCGAAATAATTTAAGTAGAGCATCCATTATTCATTTTTGCTAACTGTTTTGTGTCGTCGTGGCAATGATAAGAAAATATTTCCTCTAAAGGATCATTCGTCTTCACTTATGTTATAGGGCATGAAATACCTTCACAACACCTCTGTCAAATTCCATGGCAACCTGACTTCGACTCGATGCGTGATTGACAGTCACTGGGTTGTCAAGATCACAGACTGGGGTTTGCATGAATTCAAAGCTGGACAGGAGAATACCAAGAGTTTGCACAAGATGTATTATGGTAAGTCTCATCTTTGCATCTATGCCACACTCGTGAGTTTGGAGGAGTCTGTCGACGTATTTTTACAGAATCGATATGTTGCGTTCGACTGGTGTTTACATCATTTTGAATTAAAGTCAGCAATCTAGTCTACAATGTTCTCATATTTTTTCACTTGTGAAGTTTTTTAAAGAATGTGGGTTTTTTTTTAAATTTCTTCCCCTGCCCGTAGCCAACCAATACATGAATATGAATCGTTATTCACTTCGGTCGTAGACAGCTGCTAATTTATTACTCAGAAAAATCGAAAACATATTTTGTAAACTTAATCAGAGGTTTTCTTCCACTAAGTCCTCTGAATCGAGAAGTCAATATTCGATACTTGATCTACTGGACCTCTTCAACCAACTTCTATAAACGAGGCAAAGGCTAAGACAAAGACCATAAGTATGGCTGATAATTGAAGCATGTTAAGAGCTTTTGTCAGTAATGATAGGTCAACAAAAGACACTGGCTAACCTAATAAAAGACATTGGCTAAGAATCTAGCTTATGGGTACAACCGTTTCTTATGCCATGTTAGATCTCTTGTGGACTGCACCTGAGCACATCAATATCAGTAAGGTGGAGCGTGAGGGGTTTTCCCAGAAAGGAGATGTGTACAGCTATGGAATACTACTTCAAGAAATGTCCTTTCGTTCGGAGCCTTACAGCAGAAAAATGCTACAACCTAAAGGTGGGTGAACTGAGTTGGATAGAAATGGTTGGTGAAGTTTTCCGAGGTATTTTTACCTATTTTCTTCCGGAGCTTACCCCAATTTTTAGTTGCATTAAGTGACTGGGAGTATTGCTGCATTCCAAAGACGGGATGCTGGTCAATCACTTGTAGAATACATCAGCGATTTGTCAATTTTCCCTAAAATTTCAACGGTATCTGTCTACACTCTTGCATGGAGAGAGACATCGCAACCGAAAATTGTCCTGCCCCAATTTACGTATTCACCTTTTGCAATCCTCCCCTTAAACAGTAATAATTCACCGTGTTGTGGCTCATGAGGATCCTCCTTTCCGTCCTGATGTTCCATCAATGGAAATGAAGCCGGAATACATAGAGCTGATGGTAGATTGCTGGAATGACGAACCCGAGGAAAGGCCGCATTTTTACCGAATTGTAGAGCGGCTCAAGAAAGAAAGTGGCAGGTACATCTCAGTGAAGTACATAAATTTTTTTTTATCATATTTACCGTTTTAAGACATACGTTTGGAGTAACGAATGTGCACGTGACTCCTCCCCCTGCCAAGAAAAATGATTCATTGTGATAAAGAAAAGACCTGGAATGCCTGCACAAGTCATAAGGACATTAAGTTTGGACCCCCCCCCTCCCCCACTTCGTCAGAAATCCTAGGTACACCCCTGCATCAGTCCTGCATCGCATATAATTTTCATTGACATCAAACCTGACACGACTTATTTCCTCAGAGGATCCAACATCATAGAAAACATGGTTACTATGATGGAGAAGCATGCTAATCACTTGGAACAGCTGGTGGAGGAACGAACCAGGCAGTTAAATGAGGAGAAAGAAAAAACAGAGAAAATCCTCTACCGATTGCTCCCACCGTAAGTAGAAAAAAAAAACACTAAAAGTTAGCTTGCCATATGCGACGACAGTCGTAAGAGAAAAGCAAAGAATTTTCTAAGCAGAGAGAGGCCTAAACTTCGTATAGAGAAGGGACAGTGAGATTTTCCTAAATCAAAAAGTGTTGCGACTTTTCTGGACCAGTCATGGAACAGAGTTGCTTCAGACGAAAAGTGTTGTTTAAACGATTGAATGTCGTACTTTTTGAATGAATCTTGTAAACCCAAATATATGACAAAAGCCAATGAGAAATAAGACAACTATCACCAACAGCCAATTAGAACTAGAAATCACTAAACCTTACTCAAGCGCGACAAAAACGTGAGAAACTGAGCGCGATTGGAGTAAATTTTGTATCTAATTTATCTAGAACAAAGACGATACAAGTTTCTTATCCAATCAAATGACGCAGTGAAGCAAAGCTAAAAAAACCCGGATTTCTCTCGACACTCAGTTGATAACTGCCCTGAAAGTTTTCTTTTCATGTTCTTAGTTTGGTAGTGGACCAGTTGAAGTCTGATAACACGGTACAGGCCGAGGGATTTGAGGAAGTTACCATCTTCTTCAGTGACATTGTCGGCTTCACTAAGCTGGCCTCCATGAGTACCCCGCTAGAGGTATGGAACTACACAATGGATGCTGATAAATCTTAACGTCTCTATGCATTAAATCACGTGACTTACACCATGGGGACTTGGGTCGGGTGTAGCGTTCAGCCATAGTTGTGTACCAATAGGCCATTTCACAGTTGTGGGCTGAAGGTGACCTTGTTGTGATGGAGACCAGCATCTAGTTAGCATGATAACAAAGTAATATTCATTTGGAAAGCAGCAAGGTTTGTATCATTACAAGGTCAATCTTGGCCTCACTCCTGTTCAAAGGCTTGGCAACCAAGCACACAGCTGTAAAATGGACTATTTTGGGAAGGTCTTGATGATTAAGGCGTCTCTCTATGACTCCTATAGGAAGCAGCTCCTCAGTGTGCGGAAACCTCGAAGAGATATTTGCCAAAGTTTACTTTGAAATAATAAGTAAAATCACTGGATTTATGATGAACACAGACCTATGAACAAATACGCTAATAACTCTCTCTTTTCCCTTTGCAGATTGTGGGCTTTTTGAATGATTTGTATGTGTCCTTTGATGAAATTATCAGTCGTTTTGACGTATACAAGGTAAACTCACATTGAGAAAATTTACCTGGAATTTGTAAAACGTGGTTTTGCTGTTGTTTTCTCCCTTAAAGTCCGTAATATCGAACCCAGCCTCTCTCTCCAGACCCGGAGGTTTTTCCGGCGTTTTTTCTTTGCCGTGAAAGAAGCACCACCTTTTAGAGGGTTTCGTGAAAATAAATAGGGACTGTATTAAAAAACATTGAAATGGTAGTTTATCTTTTTCAGGTGGAGACAGTTGGTGATGCTTACGTTGTTGTCAGCGGTTGTCCTAAGAAGAATGGGATAAAACATGCTAGTGAAATTGCGAGCATGGCACTAGAGCTTCTCAGTCACATGACTGTATTTCGTGTGCGACATCTGCCAGACCATCAACTGCAACTGCGAATTGGCATCAACACGGGTAGGATTTCTGGACCTTTGATTAGTTGTTCGCCTTTTCATGTCATCATTTTCTTTCTGCATTGTTTTTCTCCATGAAGTCATAGGTGATCCCTTGTCCCTTTTTCCTTGAACTTGGCTGTTTAGAGCAATTTTCAATTCAGCGTCGAAAATAATCCTGTATTGCTTTGGTTTTGCTTTACTTCGTTATGTGGTTGGTCTAGAAAACTCGCGCTGCGTTCTCAACCACTCAGAGTCTTCCCACGCCATAGGCGGTCAGGTTGTTTGCTTTGAATTCTCATTGGTTCTTAAAGGTATTTCCCTTTCTTCTGATTGGCCGTTGTGATTACTTTGGTGTTGGTTTTTTACGACACTCAATCGAAGAGCACTCTAATACTGAACCGTATCGCATGCAACTGCACTGACGCCGCGATGTAGCAACATAGGTTTGAACGTATAACTTGCTTTTCATTTTGATTTGATTTACAGGTCCAGTGGTGGCGGCAGTTGTTGGTGTGACCATGCCACGGTTTTGCCTTTATGGTCACACGGTCAACATCGCATCTAAGCTGGAAAGCACCTGTCTGCGTAAGTACTGCGCATGCTCTATGCGTTCCATCACTCTGACCCTTAGGTGCTCTAATTGGCCGTGGAAGGTCTGATACATTAATTAGACCTTTGGCCTTTAACGATAGAGTTAATGATCTTTTTCTCTGAACTTATTTGGTTGAATATCTTAGAAACGCATCGACCAAATCTGAAGCAGGTATTTAAGTCTTGGTAATATTTGTATAATCTTATGATAATTCTCTTATTCATACATTTCTCAAGCTTTGCGCATCCACGTGAGCAGCGAGTCACATTCGAGGTTGGTTGAAGTTGGAGGTTTTTATCTAGAGGAGAGGGGACAGGTCCAGATTAAGGTAAAAAAAATATCTCGGAGGTGATATAAGAAACTGACTAAAGGGACTATTCTCCATGCTTGATGACACTTTGACAGTCAATTAAGTTAAACGTAAAAAGGCAATTTATTTTTCTACCCGCCCCTCTGAGACGCGGTTCTCCAATTGTTAGACAAATGACGCTCAAGGAATTTTTGTTTTCAATCCATGGCGCACACTAACAGCGCTGCGAATGCAACGAACACAGATGGAGGCTCGGAACGTTTGAAAACCTGAGTAAAAAGAATACAGCATTTTTCTTTCGAATTAACTGAACCCTCTCCAATTACGGTTTGTAATTTTGTTTGTTTGATAAATCAAACTAATGTTCTTCTCAATCTACTTTTAATAGCTGGCGTCATTAACTCAGAGTACGCACCCAAGCCTTGTTTGCACCAGAATATTCACAAGTCTTTGTTACTTGTCTCTGTTGTTTCCATGAGGGTATTGTTTTAAATATAGTGTCCGAATAAACAGTCCACATCTTGAAAGCGAAGCTTAGTGGTAAAATTGCGTATTCCGACGTAAACGTGCACAAGGCCTATCGATATGTTTACATCGTGTTTTTCTTTTCTTTGTCCCTATTTGACAGAGGCAAGGACTGGTGACTACTTACTGGTTGGTTGGTAAAGAAGGCTTTGACAAAGCCTTACCCGACCCCCCACTGGACTTCTCAGAACCACTGTTTGAAACTTTGGATGTGTATTATGCCAGTTAATACCAACCAAACACTTTCCTAAAACTTGGCAGGGAAAACATTTTATCAACTGACCAATAGTAATAACAATAATATGGGGAAAATAATCATATATAAAATTTGTGAAAGGGCACTTGTTTCTATAACGCTGAAGCTCTCTTTTTTAAAGTCATGGGATTGGAAAAGAAGATAGAAAATGTACAGAAATTCAGGGTGGATAAGAGCAAGCGTGCAGGGAATTCTAGAGGGGACAAACCTTTACCTCTCATCCCCCATCATTCTTCCATTCCTTTCTTTTCTTTTTCTTTTCTCTTTTTTTTTTTAAGACCGCCTCTCTTTTTTCCTTTGCTATTTTCCATTCCTCCTGCAAATAACATCAGGAGTCCTTTTGGAATAATTAATCCCTTAACCCATAAGAGTGAGTATCGTCTAGTTTCTCCTCTCAGCAGCAACCCTGAATTAAACATAGAGATCACGAGAAAAAAAAACAAAATGCATGATCCTCAGCTTCAGAAGCTCCCGATGATCTAACAAATTCCCCTCTTCAGTACAATAGGAAATGTAGAGAGGGCGGAATGGAGAATATTTATCCTCATGTAAGGATGTAAAGAGTTAAGGTTGGTTCTGTTGGGCACCAAATGCCCCGTGGGTATCTTCTTTCTACATTTTTTTTTTTCTTCTTTTTTCGTTGAATTTTCTGGTCAGTTTGCCTTCATGGCTCTATCTAATTCGGAACCAATTGCCTTTCCGAATCTCTGTAATTTCTTAAAGTGAAACAGAGATACCATCTACCTTGAAAAGGTAACGAGTGTAAATACGATTTTTACTAATATCATCGTAAGTCAAAAGAAAAGGGAGATTTTAATACTTTATCATCCGTTTTATTCATAATTATCTCGCGTTAAACGTTGTAAAAGGCTGGGTTATGCGGTCGTGTTTACATTTAAAGCGATTAACGAACTGTCTTTTACAAAGGGAAGTCAAAACCAATGCAAAAACAGCAGAGCGCTTTTCGAAAACTAAAGTAATCAGAATGACCAATCAGATCAATGGAACACATTACAAGAAGCCAAAAAGATTTGGCGCATCCCTAAGATGTCCGCTGAATAGCAGATCCTTTACAGGCGAAAGGAATTTGAACTTTGTTCTGATCGAAACTGTCAATGGTTCAGATGCGATTTTACAACACCAGAAATCGTCTGTGATTGAAATGAAGAGAGTGAGGCAAGCAAGACTGGTTGACAACTCAGTCCTTAAAGGAATAACGTTAAATTTACGTGTAATGAAGATTACTTTAGTTCAACCTGCTGGCATTTTCTATGTTGTAAAATATAGTTTTTATCTTGTCATATTTGCGGCGGATAATAATAAATTATTGTTGAATCCAAATCTTTTCGATGTTTGTTATAAAAATCAATATCCGCGCTATAAATTTTGAGAAGGAATAATACATCATAAAAACAGGAAACGCTTTTAATAAAAATACACCCGCTTCCCAAATTAACCCTTTCACTCCTGGGTGTGACCGATGAGAAATTTCCCCCAACACTGCCGATATGTCTTTAAGCAGAGAGGTGATAAGATCGAAAATATATACATTGCAGAATATTTTTAGATTCAACAAAAAATTCTCAAAGCTAAAATCATAGGAAATGTAAGGCAGACAGTAGCGAGAGTTTATCTTTAGATCTTGGGAGTGAATGGGTTAACGGCAGGAAAATAAATTTTTAACTTTAAAAACTGTTTGGCTAGTTATTCCCCTTCAAGGATTCGTTTCTAGAAAGTTGCGGGAGTTACCGACCCTGAAAGGCTCAGCTTTTTGTTTGCTGTGTTTAAATTCAAGATCGGTTCATTAAGGGCTTGTTATTTAAACAAAGTTTAGCCCTTGTTTAACAAAACTACGTTCTAAACCATTTTCAGTTTAGCCAAACCTTTTATCTGAATATTTATCTTTGTGAAGCTAATAGTAGAGGAAATTTATTAAATTAAATTAACCCTCTTCAAGAAAATTCCTGAGACTCGCTGCTTGCGTAAAACCGCGTTTTGGGTTGGACCTCGTGTAAATAACCGGCCTAAGAGTTTTGAAATTAGGAAAGTGTAAATAAAAGGAAACAAAACAGAACTGACTGGTTTTTGAGCCAAGATCTGCCCTACTCTAATATTAAGATATTATCAGAAGGCTCAGGGCTCGTGAAGTCGTTGAAACCTTCGGTAAGCTGGTCTAGGAACACTCAAGGATCGATAGATATTTGGATGTCAGTCAGTCCTTGTTGATTTAAACTCTTAATTTTATCCGGTTAGTTTTTCTTTGGTGCTTAGGTAATGTTCTGTTTGGCCTTTCCAAGTTCAACTTGCTTAGCCGCTGATCCAAACTGTAACGTGCTCGCTGTCTCGCTAAGGTTACTGGCGAGCGGGCTAACATTAACAAACAAACACGCCTTACCGTCCCCCCCAAGAGAGCTCTGCATTAATTGAGTCAACTTAGAGTTTCTGTAAGGTACGTGCATTGCATTCGTTCTTAACGCTGCAAATACTTGACCCAGCGCTGAAAGAGATTTGTTGATAGCTGCTGCTTCCACGAGCCTTTGTCCTGTGGCTTCAGTTTTGGAGATCCTTTCTGAGCCAGCAAGGTCTACAAGGGTCAGCGTACCGCGCGTGACGGCATTTGTCACGCGATTTGTGCCATGAAGCTTCAAGAGGAGTAACAAATGGGAGCGGGAGCTGTTTGTGTTCATTTTGGTAGCACCCACTGAACGGTTCGAGTCACCTGAAATTGAACACAAAAAAAGAGAGAGTTGCTGCTGGATAATTGCTCGTAAACATTTGATTTTTGCCCCCCTTTGACGAAAATATGAAGCACTTGGGCTCATTTCTTAGAACCTCAGGACTCCTTTTCGGAAACTCAACCATTAGCGCCTCAGAGTGATTAGCATTTAATTTCTCCTTTCCGCGTCACCCTGAATTAAGCGTTACGATCACTAAAATAGAAAAAATGATCATTACCCCAAGAAGTTCTTGATTGATAAGTTAATAGCTAATTCTCCTGTCAGCGGCTTGGGATATGCACGAGGACAGTGCGGAGAATGTGCGCACTGATATTAGGTGTTAAGGGTTAAGTAGTCTCAATCTATTTTTATTTTGAGTTTTGAGTTTCAGTCATGTATGGATCTCAATGTGAAAATCGATTTCAACTGGGAAAAAGCGTTCAAAGTTCCCTTTTACCGCCTTTTGGATAGCACAGGTAAAGATAACTCAAATGTCAGACATCGAAAAATCGTTTACCCTTTTCCATGATGCCTTTGATATCTGCAGCAGACTTGACATTAGCTTCAGTGACATCAGTAATGACCAGTTGTTTGTTCCTCATCTGAATGGTCAGTTGTTGTGAGCTTCCACTCTCACTGAGCAGATCCCTCACTGTTTCGTTATAAACTTCCACCATAGAAACACACATAGTATAGTCCACGGTGGTTCGTTCGTCGCATACCCGAAGGAGTTCCAGAATCGATCTGATATTTACTCCGGGATCTTCGTTTGTCCCCATCATTGTGTACGTTTTCCCTGAGCCTAAAAAGGAAAGTAAAGTCGATGCTCATTTACCACAAAAGTAGAACCGTTGCAACACCCAAAAATTAAGAACCGCTTACACTGAGGGGTAAATATAACGACATCTGGTCAAGTCTCCCAAAAGTAATCTCGCCCGAAACTAAACTTGAGTTAGGTTGCCCGAGATAATTAGTCACGTCGCCCAAAATCTCATTGTGATAAAAAGACGAAACAGACTATTATTGGGCAATAAAGTTGAGAAATCTTTATCATCTAAATAGCGGTGTTCGTTTCCGACAACAAAGACGTCTGTAGGCTGATATCGAGGGAGAAAAAATATTTAAAAACTAAGGAGTTAAAATGTGCAGAGGGCAAAACTTTTCAAAGACCACCAGATAGATAATATTCAATGCCGCACTTTATGTTCCCTCCTGTGCCACTCAGATGAGAAACGGTGGCCTTAAAGGAATAATTTTAAAGATTGCATTAAGAACACGTACCTGTTTGACCGTAAGCCATGATACAAACATTGTACCCATCAACACATGACGTAATAAGAGGAAGAGTGTCTTGAAAGACTTCTTCCTGAGTACTGGTTGGAAAAAAAACTCGGTCAAATCTGAAGGACTTTTTCTGTCCCATTGCTGATACCAAACTTATGTCTTGGTCCGTGAAGAAATTAAGTACATCATCTGCATTAGGATCAAATCTGCATCTACAGAATACTCTGATGTTACCGCGGAGTTCTTGGAGTTTATTGTACAAAAGTTTTCTTTCGAGTACCTCTTTATGGTACAAGGCGCGCAGTTCTATCAGTTCCTTGCTAGAGCCTTGGTTTTGTTGTTTCATCTTACGCAAAGACCCTTGCGCCTGATTTAAAACTGAATAAAGTCCATCCATTTCGCTTGAAAAACAATTCCGCAATTCCGCTAACTTCTCAGAAAAGAATTTAATTGAGGACTTGATATTCAGACAAGTATCCTTAGAAACCCTCTTCTCTTTAGGAGTCGCCACGGCAACCGTTGCCACAACTGGTTGTTGAGGTTGTGTTTGCGCAGATTTAAGCTGCTGAATCTCCCGTTGTAAACTTGTCCCTTTGATCTGAAGTTTTCTTGCTAGTTCTTCTGCTGATCTAAGCTTTTCTTGTAAGTCCAAATTCTTCCTTTGGGACTCTTGCAACTGAGAATCTTTATCTCGGAGTTGCTCCTCTAGCTGTCCAATTCTTTTCGTCAAGCCTTCCATCTCAACTGCTTGCTCTTTACTAATCGCAGAGCTATTTGCAAGCTTCAAAGGAGTCTTCTCTTCAGTGGGATTCGCGTCCTCAAACAGCGTCATGTAAGTGTTAAGGACCTCATCAAGATCATAATTACACTGTCTCAACAACGCAAGTATCTCAGAGGTATCGGTCCAATATGGAAATGTCTCCTGAATGGTCACCAGCCGCGATTTTACATCTGGTACATACATCTCCCATGACAGAGGCATCTTCAACCATGTGCCAGAATGTTCGTCGTAAACACTTAGTACATTCAACTTAGTTTCTTCAAAGTACGTAGTTAATAGTCCTAGAATAAGATTCAGAACAAATTTGTACATTAATGCAGTTAAGTCATAAGTTACCAGTGAGAACTGACAGTTATGATGACTCCTTAACCCTTTTCTTAAATTCACACTAGCCATGAGCGTAAATGAACAGGCCACTAGATCCACAGGCTTGATAGGCATGAGGTGTGAGGAAAGATTCTGGACCCCCCCCCCCCCCAACCCCTCGTCTTGAAACACCATTGATACCTCAAAAGCACAGTAATGCATGTAAAATTAGCCAATCACACTACAACAAAAAGTTTCCCCATAACAATACATGTAATCACAATAAAGAGCACTGCACCTCTAGATGGATGTTCCATCAACCCCATGCGATCATCTTTCCATCTTGGTACCCAAGCACTTTGTGACTGCATAGCAGCACCATGAGCTGTGTCATCATATCCATACTCTCCTGTTTCTAGTCTTTGGTCACTCTCTATGTAACCGTGTTGGTACCACTCCTCAGGAAATGGCTGCAACTCATTACCTATATGTAAGAAGCAATAGCAGAATACATATTATTAACCCTTTAACTCCCAGAAGTGATTAACACAAAACTTCTCCTTACAATATCCATACATTCTTCAGCAAACAGGTAATGAGAATATTCAAACTTATCAGGTAAAAGCTACTATCTTGATCTAGCACCAAGTTCTCATAACTAATTTACAAGGAAATGTGTAGCAGCTACAGGGGAGAATTAACAATCAGATCTTGGGAATTAAAGGGTTAACAAAACTAGTGGTCTGTTTATTGCCTGGAGGCTCCCCTTATCCACACAATACCTGGTTTATACCAACCCTGGATGAATGTGATAGATCATATGCCAAGAAAGGCCTCAACAAAATTTTTCAATGAGGATGCTCTACCCTGAATGCAACACATTTGAACAAAAGGTACCCCTTCCACAGGAAATGATACTCCTTTTAGCTACAATGAAGAGCAGAACAGAGCACAGTAGATCATTCCAATCCTCCTTTATAGTGAGTATCCCCACAAATAACAGGATTAATTGATAACTTTCTTAATTGGTTCATATTTCCTGATGTGTCACATAGAAAGTCAATGGGTCAATGAATATACTGATGATGTTCATCTTAATAAAATGTCACTTTGCATAAATATGTTGATATTTGTTTGGTCAGGTGAGTGATCTTCTTAGAAACTTGGCCACTTGCCTACCTATACAGACCCTAAGTAATTTCAAAATCATTTTCTCAGACAATACTTAAAGGAGAATATTGTGTTCCGCTATAATCCTATCAGATTTTCCACATTCTCGTGGGTCTTAGAGATATAATAAAACAAACAAGACAAACTACCGGTATGCTTATGTGCACACATATGTTTTGAGCCCCACTCAGAGTAATTTAAAAGTTAAAATGAGCCCTGAGAAGAGCCCAAAAGACATTTATGCCCAAGAACATGTGTACTATTATTATTACTTTGGAAATCATTTAGAAACAAGTACTGAAAAAAATTACATAATCTCCATTTTAGGCTGCAAAGTGATTTAGTGATCCTAAAACAAGTCCGGGCAAGTAAGCTTCATGAACATTGTAGCATACCCCAACGGCTACCCCCTCTGGCCCCACTTCCCCTCTATTCCCTTAACTTTCACTACTAACATCTTTAGGAAAACACATGCTCACTGTTGCTACCCGAAGATATATACCTGAATTCCAAGAGTCGACGAAATACCTTTGACCTTCCAAATTTATCACACTGTAATCTTTTCCCGTCTTTAGGCAATGAAAGACCTCGAATACAATGTCATCAGAAGTTGAATTTGAAATCCCTCCTGCCTGGTCGGCTAATCGATTTCTATTCCCGATTTTTGACTGTTCATAAACTCCTTTTGAAGTTGAACGATAAACTGGCCCGTCTGGTCTGTCCATCCCGCGATACGATTGGGAACATGATCGGGAATGCGGAGCAACCGCACGCTCGATACTCATGTCTACTTCGTAGTCATCGAAATGATCAGCTGATTCATATGGACCGGAATGATAAGATGAAGGTTCATTTCTAATGAAAGGTGATGCAAAATGCTGAGATTGAACACCATCGTAGGGTTGAAATATGCCGTGATTCGTCTCACCACCATTAGCGACATAACCGTTCATATCACAACTTCGTTGTGATCTTATGAAATTATTAGCTGGCTGTATATTCGTGGGGTTTCCAGGCCTTGATTGAGCTCCATTACCCATATTTTACTCTACAATAGTCCACAATTCTTCTTTTGACACAGAATACGCGCTGACACACCGCATTGGAATGTCAAAAAACCGCGTCAAGAGCTGAAACCTTATAGTTACAGTTAATCCAGGTGGGACGATCATTTCGAATCGTCGCCAATGATCACTAATCAAAACAACAACAATTTGATATTTGACCACTGATCAGCTGAGGGAGTCTGGGATAAAACTGCGCAGCCACGCATTATTTCTTATGGTAAAACACTGTTTCCTATAATCGCGGCGCTAGCTTTCTTTTCCAAAATGGTGGACGTACTTCTAGCTGTGGTCGGATTTTTGTGGCTTACTTATTTATGGGAAAACTATCTCTCATACCGTCAGGTAAGGCATTAGATAAACATAGAAAGTAATTATCTTTTTAGCTAAGGTATTATTTGACAAGGTTATCTTTGGACGTACTTCCAGAGAGAAGTACTTGAAGAGAGTTGTACATACTTTAAATTTCATAACCGTACCCTATTTCGTTTTGGCAATGTGCTTTAGTTCCGCAGATTTGTATGAGCGCCTTATTTAAAAATTTTCCTGACCCCAGTGCATTTATTTCGTCAAATTTGCATTATATCCAGTAAAATTTGGAAAGCAATAGCTTTCGAAAACTGAAATATGTCATTAAACGATTTCACTTTCAGTTAAAACCAATTTTCACTTATCAAGACAATATAATCAGTAAATTTCCACATGCAATTGTATTGAAAAATTCCAAAAGTATCTTTTAAGAACTTCGTTGTCGGCTATATCATTCATACTCTCAAAAGTATCGCACTGAAATATTTAAAGAACACAGAATGCAAGCCATTGGATATCTAGAGATTACATCCCCCTCTATCCCTGTTTCTGTGTAAAAAGTGAAACTCACTAAAACAGACATGAATAATTCAAAATATGAAAAAAATACTCATGCGATACAACCATCTTCGAGAAGAAAATCCAACATTTTTGGCAGAAGATAAAATCATCTTGATTTCCCCTCTTTCCAAAATTTCCAAACTTACTTTTGAGCAGGAAATTAAGTAAACTGTAACCAGTGGTTCACTCTGTTCTCTTGAGACTCCTGAAGAGTCCCTAGAGTTGATCTGTATTTAGAACAGAGAAAGAAAATTATAATTGTTAGATCAGTTGGCCTAAATGGATGATGAAGCTTTTTGTTTCTTTTTAAGGGGCAATGAAGATAACTGGAAAATTATTTTCAACTATTATGCAACTAATGATCATTTTTCCTCTTTTTTTTTCAGCATAAAGTTCTAAAGTACACTAAGGATGTTCCTGATGAGCTGAAAGACACATTGGATCACGAGTCATTTGAGAAAGCACGGGTTTATCAGCTGGATCGCTCTTCATTTGGTTTTGTATCTGGAGCATATTCTCAAGTAGAAACAACGGTTAGATATATTCATCAATGGAGTTTACAATCATATTAATTTAAGTTGAGGAGTTGCATGGAAGAAAGCTTTAAGGAAGTTGTGATGAGCAGCTGGATTCTCCTCTTAAATTGTCTTCTCTCTCCTTTTGAAACAAAGGTAGAAGTTGATGTTGCATCAAAAGTTGATCAGGAATTTATTCAATTCACCTGTTCATTGATTCTAAAGTTTTATGCAATGAACAAAAAGAAAGCCAGATGCCACAATGGGGGCCTATATTTATTTCACGAGTGCTCAAAATTAACTTTTGATTTGGTGGCTGTCTTTTGCTCAGATGGAGAACTGTGGGTTTAAACTTTGTAGACAGTCGTTTTAGATCATGTTGTGGAATTTTGAGACAGGCGTGAAAAATTTTCTCGGGTTACTAATATTGCTGTAAAGAGGACAAACATACATGTACTTTCCACTTAAAGATGGAAATCTCAGTGAATATTTCAACTAGTCCAGTTACATGTAGTTATTCCTGTCAAACCAAATCTACTAAGATTGCTTAAAGAGGAGAGCATTTTGTGCCAAATTCCTAGTTATTGCCATTTACAAAATGGACACATTGTCATTTGAAAATGTATATATTTAGTTCCTTGCTTTAATGTGATACATGTTAATTTTCATCTATTTATTTGTTTACTCATTGTATCCTTTCAGCTTATCCTACTGCTTGGTGGAATACCTTTTTTGTGGAGAATTTCTGGACTGTTGATTTCCAAATTTGGTTATTCAACTGATTACGAGGTGTGTTAAGTCATAAAGGTGATGAAAAATATATATATAATTAGCTATCCTTGTAGAAAATGTAATCTGCATTATAGTGACTAGATTCCTCTGGCTTTACAGCACATACATCTGTATAATTGATCATTTAGTGATGAATTGTCAAATTATCATTGAGTGTAATTACAATCATTTGGTTATGAATCATCAAATTATTATTTAGTATAATTATAATCATTGGAAGGGAGGGGGACAGATGTGGTGAACAATGTGAAGGGTGCTTCAGTCAGGATCCTAAGGTTTGAGCCTTAGCCTTAGCCCACTCACTGTAGGGTATTGGAGCATGCTACTGAAACCAGGATATGCTTTGGCAGCATGGACTCTCTGGCTTGTGAGCTCTATAGCCCTTTTGGGCAAATCAAGATGAAGATCAACTCTTAGCTATACAATTTTCCTTCCATTTGGATTCAGTCTTTGACAAAAACTGATGCAAAATTAATGTTATTTGATAGTTAATGTCTTTTCTTTGGGACAGATCACTCAGTCATTGGCATTTCTTTTGATCGGGATGCTTTTCAGTACCATCACAGATCTTCCTTGGAGCCTGTATAGTACATTTGTTATTGAAGAGAAACACGGCTTCAACAAGCAGGTTTGTTAAAGAATGTTGCAAAGTGTTGCATGAGAACAGTCAGGGTTTCAAGGATATCGTGTAGAGTCATTACTAAGACTTATGACTTTGCACATATGTAGCTATACTTTCAATTGCATTCAGCTGCATAAAAATTTGCATTCAGTTACACTTAAATTCTGTCCTTGTGGCTAGACTCTTTCTAAAACTGATTTAATTTATATGATCTCTGAGCTACCAGCCATTATATTTTTCTTTTATTCCCAAAAATATTGATCAGGTCAGCTTGGTGAAATGCACACTTTATTGCCAGTGTGATAATATGTATAACTGTGTAATAGTGTATTGATTACACATATTGTCATATGGTATATAAGTTTCCGTGGATGTTTAGTTGCTACAAGAAAAGTTCTGAAAGCCATACTGAATATTGCTAATTTTATTTTCAAAAATGTTATTATGCTTAAGCTTATTGTACATGTCTATTTGATGAAGATGTTGAAATAATAGTTGTTTTGTGCAACTTCCTCCACAGACTCTTGGCTTCTTCTTTAAGGATACTGTGAAGAAGCTGGCTGTCATGCTGGTGATATCACTTCCTTTACTTGCTGCATTGCTTTACATCATCAAGTGGGGTGGAGAGTACTTCTTCATCTATACTTGGATATTTACACTTATAGTTACCCTGGTATGTAGATAACTCCTTACTCCTGATCATCAATTTATTAAGTATTATAAAAAGTGGTGTTTAAGCAGTATTTTTTTTCCCAACCCTTTTTAACCCTTTCACTCCCAAGATCTCATTAGTAATTCTCTTTACCATCTTCCATACAATTCTCTTGATGTTAGTTTGGAGAATTTGGTATTGGATCATCTTATAATCCTCTAATTGATATTTTTCTTAATTCTTGTCAAGTGTCCACTGAATATTGTTAGGAGAAAAATTCTGTCTTGGTCACTCGTTGGTGTTGAATGCTTAACCAATCAGTGGTGCAGCTTGTATGCTGGAAAACCTGTGCAAAAATTTGCATTAATTGACGCTATTCATTGAAAATTTACATGCCTGTGTAGCAAACTAATAAGAACATAATGAAAATAAACTAGAATAGAAATTGATCATTGCTTTTGCAACTTTTGTGGCTCTAAAAACAGCTGTTTTTGTTCTCAAGCATAAATTTATATTTCTTGTTATTGAATGGCATTATTAACCTTCTTTGGAGACTTTTTAAGTGGTTTAAGGTTACCTTAGCTTCCTAGAGCATCTAAATATTATTTGACAAGGAACCTAGCAGTGCAATGGGATGAATGCTTCTGAAGCTATAAATAGTGTCCAGTATCCCTTCTCCTGATCAAATCCCTGACTTCTAAGCTATGAGTGATCCAATTCTACACCTGGTCAGCCACCTGTTTCTGATGACTTCAGCTCCAAGAAATTGGTTTTGAATTGCACATAAACTTTATTTGATGTTTTCTTTCTTCTCTGTTCCTATTTGCTTTAAAATGTCTAATAACTGTAAGAAGAAATTTTGTTTTTATCAGTACTGGGATTGAAAAGGCTATTTGACAAATTCTGTTGTTCTGTTTCAGGCTTTAGTGACAGTATACATGGACTACATAGCCCCTTTATTTGACAAGTTCACTCTTCTTCCAGAAGGAACTCTGCGCTCTGCAATTGAGCAGTTAGCAGCCAGGATATCTTTTCCATTAACCAAAATTTATATTGTGGATGGATCCAAGAGATCCTCTCATAGCAATGCATATTTTTATGGATTCTTCAAGAACAAGAGGATTGTTCTTTTTGACACTTTACTGGCTGAAAATCCTATAAAGGAAGAGAAGGATAGTGAAGAAGGTGGAAAGGAAAATGATGATAACAAGGAGCAAGATAAGGAGGCAGTGGATGAACCTGTGGAAAATAATGTGCAGAAGGAGGTGCCAGTCATTATTTTTGTGTAATTATTATTTGGTTTGAAAGTCAATAGTTTGTTTGGTTAAGGAAAGGGTTTGCAGTTGAACTCCAATCACTAAAACCCTCTCTTAATTTAACTTCCGAACAGGAAATTTTAGTAAGTTTGATCTTAGTTCAGCCCTTTAACAAATAATGAGCAGAAGGTGCTAGTCATTATTTTTTTTACTATTCTTATTTGGTTTGGAAGTCAATAGTAAAGGAAAGGTTTGCAGTTGGACTCCAATCACTAAAACCTATCTTAATTAAGCTTCCTTGCTGGAAGCTTAAGCAACTTTGATTGTAGTTCAGTCCTTTAACAAATAATATGCAGAAGGAGGTTCTAATAATAATATTTGTGTTAGCGTTACTTGGTTTGGAAGAGAATTTACCATCAGGTCTTGGGAATTGAAGGGTTGAATCACACAGGAAGGTCACAAGAATAAAGGAAATGATCACCAACTAAAGAGCTCTTGATTATTAAACAAATTCTCCTTGTCAGCACCTTAGGAAATGTATAAAAAAAGAGTATGGAGAATATTCAAACTGATGGTAGGGTGTAAAGGATTAGCCTTTTTATGATTAAATATTTCAATGAGTTATACTTCTGAAGACCTTTGTTATTTTTTCTTTTTTTTCCGACTGATTGCTGTCCACCATTGCAGGATGCAACAGAAGATGATGAAGTGAAGAAGGGCAAAGGTTGCTCAAATGATGAGATACTGGCAGTTCTAGGGCATGAACTGGGCCACTGGAAACTTAGTCACACCCTTAAAAACCTTGGAATCTCACAGGTAAATTCCAACATGTAAACCATTACAGGTCATTTGCATGCATGAGGGAACATGTCTGGGCAGCGTTTTGCCAAGTTGTTTTAAGTAATTCCTTTGCACAGATACTCTCAGAGGGAAGGCTTTTTGACTATGTTGTAATGAACCTGTTTTTCTGTCCTTGTAGGTGAACACATTTTTTTCGTTCATGATGTTCGGTTTTCTGATGCATAACAGGGCATTGTTTGCAAGCTTTGGTTTCCCCGACTCACAGCCCACATTGATTGGTCTGGTGATCATATTTCAGTTTATATTTTCACCTTACAATGAGGTATGTATTACCAGTTATTATGGATAATGGCAACTGAACTGGGTAGAGTGCAATTGGTCTTAGATCTTCCGTGTAAATTAAAAATAGATCGAGCACGCCGCGCGAGTTCGATTGGAATCACAAGTATGATTTAGGGACAAAATTGCACGACACGATATGCAATTGCCAGTTAATTTCTTCTTTCTTCTTTTTTAAATAGCAAAATTTAATCTCCCAAATAGAAGATTTTTTCAATAAAAATATTTTATGGATAGAGTCCTGAGCCGGTTTGTAAAAAAAGCAGAATTTTTACTGCCTACGGTAGTTACGAAGGTAGTAGCCTGCAGTGCAGGCGTCTTATAAGGGCGATTTAACGTTCAGAAGCTCGCGATCGTTTATGCAACCGGCCAATGTACAAATTTCTTTCTCTCCACAGCCTCCCGCTGCCATTAAAATCAAAGATGGCAACATAATTTCGCCTAAAAAAATATCGAGCAATCGCCAAAATTACGCCTGCTTTACAGGCTTCGAAGTTATTTGAAACTTTTTTTGGACAAATTAAAAAAGTCGTAGATCATGAGAAATTTTTACTGTAGCGTATGACTAATTTGCGATCAATTGCGGCCCCGATATCGAAAAAGTAACGTCACTTTCATTTCCTTTATTTATTTTAGTTACTAGGTTTTCTGATGACCGTCCTAAGCCGAAAGTTTGAATTTCAAGCCGACGCCTTCGCAAAGAATCTTGGGTTTTCCACATTTTTACGTTCAGCCCTGATAAAGCTTCACAAAGACAACCTTGGGTTCCCTGTGGCAGATAAATTATACTCGGCGTACCATTTCTCACATCCGCCTTTGATTGAACGGCTGAGAGCCTTAGGAATCAAAGAAGAGTGATACGATAACCACAGTAATTAGCATAAGAAGTGACCTGTGGCACCTTTAATTCTTAAGAAAGAAACGACTCCTGTTTATCTTAAATCTGAAGTTATCTATGCTTCGTGAGTCTCATATGTATTTGCATGCTTTAATGTATCATTTTAGAGAAGGTTGTGCTGAGCCGAGTTTGTGTTTAAGATACTCGGCTTATAAATGAGAAGACTATAACTTGGTTGGCGAGCTTGTTTTTTGTTTTTAAACAAGGTTTTTCTTTTTCCCCGTCAACCAACTTGAGCAAAAATTAATCGCACCTATCTCTTTGAAGCGGAGAATAAAACATCCTTTTTGAATTAAAAGTCAGTCGGAACGTGATGACGAGAAAACAAGAATAAATTAGTTGAATGGAAAGCGCTCGTTGATACCGTGGGGATTAAGAGTGCCGATTGGAAAGATAAATCACGTTTATCATTTTTATGAAAAAGTATCGAGGCTGCGCGAAACAACATACCCCTTGAAGGAACTGGTGCCGGGTAGGCCAATCCCAGCGTTCATTCTGACCCCAGTATTAGCAAAGTCGCGTATTGTAGAATGCACAATGATTCATCTTTTAGAGTGATTGCTAAGGTTCAGATCGTCGCAGCTCTTAAATTGAACTGCTGGTTTGCATGGTTTGATGCATGTTGTTTTCAAAAGGTATTTCTAAAGGGATGTTGAAAGTATATTATTCATGAACTAAACAAATACGTCTGAAAACGTCAATGTTTTTGCTCTTAATTCCAACGTTTTCAACTTTTTTTTCGGTATTGACTACAGCTAGTACTGCACTGCGCTTTTAACTTTCTTTGCCTGTAACAAATGATTGATCGGTTACTTAAATAGAGTGGTTAGATTCTTCGTACAGTTGCAGCTTCCTAGCACTCGCTGCACGCCACACTATCGTAGCTAAATAAGTTGGCTCAGTTATCCTCATGCCACTCTAATCCACTTAGTTAAATTGCACGATATAGTTTTTTCCAAGGCCTTGGCAGACGGTTGTTATCAAAGATAACCACCGTGCACTCAGATTGGCCCTTCCCACAAGAAGTTACTTTATCCTCGTGAGAACTTTATCAAACAGCTTGAATGTAAATGAAGTGTTTTTCTGCATCTACAGGCATACATTGATAGCCACTTTCCTGGAGTGAAAGAGTTGATAAATAAGTTGTTTTGTCCACACCTCAACTTTTTACACCTGTTTTGAATGGCCACTTCGATACTATTGCTACTCCAGTTTCTTGAAATGACAACTTAATCCTACTACTTGAATTAAATATGGACGGTTTTTCCAAGACTGTTAACATAAGCAGGTGTACATCAGAGATCCACTTCCCCGGTCTAAAATGGCCGATCCATTGGCTGTTCCATCTTCATAAAAAATTTATCCATCCACTTGAATCGAAATATAGTATTTTCTTCAGGGCCCAGTTGTTCAAAGCACGCATAACGCTATCCACCGGATAAAACGCTCTCCAGAGTACAAAAGGTATTTCGCTATCCAACGGAAAGAGATTTATCAAGTGGATAGCGTTATCTCGAACAACCCGAGCCAGGCTCCTAGCAAGCTGCAGGCAGCGTAACTTTTGGCAATGTGTGTCGTTACCATCGTGTTTTATCTGCTGCTGCTTCTTGATTTTGTCCTTAAACGCCTGTCGTTCTCGAGATAGATGATGCTTTACCTCCTTTGTCACTGCACTGTCTCCATGACTGGGAAAGCCTTTTTTTAAACAATTCCTTGAGTGCATCTTTGAACTCTTTACTTGTGATGTAATACACAAGTGGATTAGCTGAGGAGTTGACCATAACGAATAATGTTACTTGGCCCATTAACAGGTTATAGTAGGGGCTGGTCCAAACCTTGGGCTTGATGAGTATTAGGAGTCGAAAGGCGGTCAGCGGGAACATTGTCACGGCAAATAATACAACAAGTGGGGTAAGAATCTGTCTTGCTTTGTTGCTCTGTCGCCATATTCTTTGACGAGATCTATCGTGGTTTGTTGGAGCCTGGAACGAGAGAGTTTCTTCCTTTTCATCGCCAATTGACATCGACTGTCGGAACACAGCACTACGATGTACACGATTCTTGATTCTTATGTACGTGAATGCGATAACAGAGAGAGGAAGGGCATACCAAACCACAATAAGAGCTACCGAGTAAGACACAAAAACAGCATATCCTCCATAATTATCTGACCAATCGGGATAGCATAATGGGATAGAGGGCTCGTAGGTAATAACGGGGTAAAGAGGAACGCATGAGACTAAAAATGATGCCAACCAGACGCCCATTATAACCAACCAGGTTGTTGTTCGAGACCCGCGATTTAGCTGGTATCGCTTAGAGCCAATTATATTTCGGTATCTCTCGATGGCAATTGCTGTTATGGACCAGATGGAGGATCCAAAGAAGATCTCCTGTGTAGGAACCATAAATAAACATGCCGGCTTTCCTAGCACCCATCGAAATGGTCTTAAGTATTTTAGCACAGCCACAGGATAGATTAATATTAAGACTCCTAAGTCTGCAACGGCCAAGCTTAGCAAGTAATAATTCATCGTCGTCTTCATCCTGGGTCGTCTGAGTATTACAGTGCACACCAAGAGGTTGCCAATAACTCCCAGAAATACCACAGTTGACCACAGGGTGATTTGGAACACATGGGCCCACAGTGGCTGGTGAAGGTATTCTGGAAACGTTGGTGGCAATGGCGCGGTACTTCCATTCATTGAAGATGTGTGGTTTGTTTCGTTGCTAAACGTGCCCTCCATTTCTTTCATTTCAACTCGCAGCTGCAAACGAAACAATTCAAAGCTTACTAATTTATCAGCATTCTTTTATTACCAAAATAACTACGTTTTCTTTCTTTCTGCCATTTCACTTCTTCGTCCTTTTATCACTCGCCAAACAGCAGAAATTAACTATCTGTCCTGAAGGACCGGACGCCAAAAAATAGCAGAAATCGAGCCTAGAAAGTCTCCTGTGGTATTTAATCAAGCATCTATATAGTCACTAACCGGAATGCCGCTATTAACAAATAAACCTCCAAACTTGATCAGAATACCTGCTGGTGATCGTGACTTATTAGAGAAGTGAAACATGAAATTAACGACAAGCGGCAAAAAATGAGATTATTACCTTCTTGTGTGATCTACATTTATGTTAAGTTTGAAATAGTTGCGCAATTGTTAGTAATATACTGATTTCTTTTTATAGTTTCTCTTCAACGGTGATGTAAGGATTATGAGTAAAGAGATGAAAATGAAATCAGACTGTACTTTGCCTTAGCCAGGAACGTTATGTTTTAACTCACTGAGATATTTGCAGTTCCCGTGAAGAATTTCCCAATTTTTAGTGATATTTGGACAATTGAACCTATAGATGAAAATTCAGAGCGACCAAATTCAACATACCTTCAAGGTTCTCTGTCCATGAGGTAAAACTGATCAAATGAATTGAATGGCCATGACAGTGACAGCTGCTCTGTTTTGAAATGATTCATTATAACTATTTTGGTTTTAGCATAGAGGTTGCCAATTAGAAACTGTAATTGGCCGCTCAAGCGAGCATTTTCAGACTGTTTGTTTTACAAAGTGGACATAAATCAAACTCAAAATTAAAAGCATCGCAATAGTGCCGGGCAGTGGAGTTTAAAAAGGCTGCAGGTGTTGTATGTAATGCTCACATAAATCACTCTTTTGCCTCTCCGCTTTTTTCTTTTTTTTTATCTGAACTTTGGTGATAAAAATTTGGTCATCGGAATCTCCCTAATTTTGACGTAAGGTTTTAGATCTTTAGTAGAACGTGGGGTTAGAACGTCCTATGACAGAAGCTTTTTTTACTGTGTTATTACCTGTTAGCGATAAGACCACGAATAAGCCGATAGATTGGATGCTACGGGCAAATATTAAAGATGCCCCTGTTAGACTAAAACTGACGATTTACGTATTCAATAAAATACGCCTAAAGTTTTTTCGTAGCCTTGAAACATGGAATCTTTGATCCTGTGAAACGTATCTCAATTCATGCTTACACGCAAGACTTCATCGCAGCTTTTCCATTTGGAATTCATTCTTATTAACACACTATTGTACAGAATCTAAATGCGGTTTGAATGCCAGCGGGAACGTAGACTGGCTCTTCTATTTAAAATAAGTTCAAACAGTTTAGTTAAGAAGAAGGAGGCTCACCAGTAGGATTTTTAGTTGAGACATGTCATTCCAAAGGATTTATTGCTTTTAAGAATAAAGATGAACCAGGAATTTTGGATACTCTTATTGAATTAATGATTTGAAAAGATAAAAACTTACTTCTTTTGCTTTAATTTGACAAATTGCCGAGACATCTAAGAGAAATGAAAGCATCTTATAAATTAATTGTTCTAAATATAAACCTTTTAATTCATAACTTTAAGCATGCATGATAATATTCACGTTGGTTTGTATCTTAACCTGACGATATAATCACTGGAACTAACAGAAATGACACAAGTTCTTTTGAGCCGATTTTATTTGAGGCACCCCGCTTCTCTTTCAAAGGTCAGTTTTCTTCTTGAGATTTTTTTCCTCGTCATTTTTCTTGACATGTGGTAGGTGTTTCACTAATTGTAACGAGGGGTTGTGGCTCATTTCCTCTTAAAGGGACGTTTGACCCGAGGCATTTTTTCCCGATCTTTCAAGCTCGTATTTTTTTTCCCGTTTTTTGTGACAGAATATATGCACTCTATGCACTCTAAACTTTGCCTCGCTCCCAGTGCTTTACAGCTCAGTTGGTTGTAGTAACCAACTAGTATCTAGGAGGCATAGGTTCGAATCCTGTCGAAGCCTGAATTTTCAGACTTCTCAGTTTTCTGCAACTGCTAAAATTGCATCACGCCAGCGAGGACCATGGCTTTACTAGATGTAAGCGCTGTTTGCACTTATGTATACCGTCTTGATTCTTGTACTTTTTTCTCTTTCATCGAATGTTGCAATTTTTTTTTTTTTTACACATTAAAGCCACTTTGCAAGCTCAAGATGAAGCAAAACACAATATCAACTGAGTAAATGGCCGCCGTAAAGAGTTTAAAAGCAAATGACGAAGGGCTAACACTCGAAACGTCAGCTTTGAAACTCTTTATGGTGGCAAATTTAAGTTATCAACTCATTTGATGATGCTAAATTACCTTGTTATACTCTCCCACCGAAGCAGCACCACAGTTTCTACAGCGAGTCTTAAAATAGTTAAAAATGTAAAAACGTTCTTTGCCCTTTCAAAGGATAAATTTAGGCCGATTACTCAGAAATTTCTTTTCCTTGTCTCTTGGTTCTTTAGCTGAGAAATATAGCTGTATAGTTGCATGTCCGAGTTTGATTTTAAATAACTTTGTACGTACCCTGAACACGTTAATGCGTTGTTGTACAAAATCATAATATGGCGTTTTTCCGATTCCGGTACAACATTATTAAACGTGATTTGCATACCGCAAATATCTTGTGGTTTTACCGCTTTTTTCTCTCCTGCGAATTGTATTGCTCAAGAACCCTTAGAGAGTACGGCAGAAGATATTATTCTTTTACAATCATTTGGCTAAAAAAAAGCTTCAACAGTGGTTTCGTTCTGTTTTGTTGAGCTAAGTGAGAAAAAATAAATTTGGACCCTGCATGCTCATGCCTTTTTTGCGCTTGGTTTTACGCTGTCTGTACCTGTGTGCATCAGCGGAAAGGTTATACGATAAATGTGACTTCTTCAGTTCCAACAGAGTAGAATCTTTTTCCAACAATTTGATACCAAAATTTATGATACAATTGTGATCCCATTCTCTCACCTGTCAGAGTTAGACTTCCCTAAACAATTCCAAATTAAAATTTCTCACCTTGGAAAATTGCTGTGGGCACCTTAGGAAGTTTTAAATTACTTTCCTTTTTATGAAAATTGATCATATTTGTGAACCACATCTATTTATAGAGTGTAAATGATACGACATGCTATTACTTTCTCAGTAAAGCACGTAGATTATCAATAACCAGTTCATGTTCTTCTACAGCAACACACAACGGAGAAGTGTTCACGTAAAGGGCAAAGGAAGGTCAGCCCCTGAAGGCAGATCACCCTGTGAGTGTGTTTACATGAACTGTTGAGATACAGAAAACTGTTAACATAGAGAGCCGTAATCAATGCAATTTTCAACACATCGTTGTCTAAAAATCTACATAAAGTGAAATGAAATGTTACTTAACCGAGATGTATCCATTCTGTTTCCCTTTCCCGAGCCGTTCCATAAATTTTTTTTTATTTATATTGAATCACTCCCCATTGCTGGCTTCTCGTTCAATAATGATTGAAGTAAAATACGTGTTAAACGGGCGGAGAAGCAATGAAAACCGCTTTGTTTGAGGACATCAATATTTCATTTTATGTAATTAAGATCCTCAGCCGAAGAAGCCAAAGAAAATTTTATCATTCAGTCCTTTGTGCGTAACCATTGGACACTGTTCACTATTTGTAAAGTCTGCTTTCAGTTACATTTCAACACACTAATGGGGTGGTTCACCCTGCCGAGAAGCTGGGAAGCTTGAACTCAGCATGGCATTTACTTGACATCATTTTCAGTTTCCAGCATGAAATTCTTAAACGTAACATGAAAAAAAATTGGAAACGTCGAAAAACTTCTCAGTCTTCGCCGGCAGATCACCGGCAAAATCTTCGCGACTATTGTAAAATCACAGTCTATGTTCTTTTATTTACACGCCAAACCTTGCTGTTCAAAAGGAAGGTTTTCTAAACTGAAAACCCCGTGCAACTTCATTCATGCGTCACGGACTACGCCCGAAACTCTTAGTCACTAATCGGTAAAAGCTTAAATAGAGTTTCAGTGAAAGATGTAAACCCCAAATAGGCTTCAGGCAAACCTTTTAAGAGATCCACAACTGACTTTTTCCTCGAGTAGAAGAAAAAACTATTCCTCGTTGTTGTTAACCCTCGTGGAAGACTTATACCTCTTTATCAAGGAAGAAAATTCTATGTATTTGCCGCATGTTTAGAATTAAATAACAGAACAAAATGGTTTTATTGACGGCCCTTGCGGTTTTCATGTGCATTAACAGAAGCTTGACATTTAAACACATTTTTTAACTACGAATGGCAGATATTTTTTATCAGATCGCAAACACCCATCGTAATCAGGAATATTTTTCTTGGACGTAAAAGAAAAACATTTTAAAAAAATGTGGTCCAGCTATTGGGAGCGACATTCGAAAGGTCGACAAAAGAGTTTACAAACCTTTAACACGGTTCACCTTCAATTTCGTCCCAATTCTGTGCGAGACCAAAGAACACCTTATACAACGCGGCAGATGTAAGAATGACCTTAAACTGTTCAGAGAGCGACGTACGATTATCTCACGATACGCAGAGCAGCTGGTGACTTGGCTTAACCTAACAAAATCGCTATTTATTTCTTCCTTAGGGGACAGCAATACTAATGGATGACTTTTACATCCTTTGAAAACGAATTTTCCATTTACAAAGTAAAACGCTAATCGGTTGTACCTCCTTTTAATTTGCATTGCCAAAAGCATCTATTTCATATGAAGAGAATATTACAACCAACTTTATTTATAGCACGCTTTGACTCTTCCAGAAACTAATGTATAAAATTAAAAATCACACTGATCTCCGTACCCAGCCTTTCTAACGTCGTTTTAAACGAATCCGTAGAGTTGATAGGTTCAAAATATGTAGAGAGTTTCTTCATGCAAAGCCGTGAAACAGATTCGATATCGAAACAGGAATATCTTATCTCCTCCTCATTACTTCGAGTCAAAGATATTGGTTAATAGATCTTTTTGTTTAATACCACCGCTGTCTTGTTGACATAATAGATGATTCTAATTTGCAGTCACTTCGATAATTTAACTGTTTTGTTGACAAGAGACGTCCAGTTGTTGTCACATCTTTTAACCATCTGTTAAATTTTATATCATGAAAAGAATCACTTTCATTTACGGCGAAAAGAGTTTAGATACAATTTAATTTCTGTCCTAGTGGACGAAACCATTTGTGAATAACCTTATTCTATTTTTCCCAAGTCATTTTCATTGCTCACTACAATAAAACATTTAAATTGTTTTCTTCCTAAAGACGATTCTTCAAAAATCGAAAGAGTTGCTGAAATTCAAACGTCAGAAAGTAAAACTGTAATGAATTTTTACAACGGAAAATGTAAAGATGGTAATTTCAAGTGTTTAACCCCCTTGGCGGATCAGCAACTTCGCGGTAGTCAACAGTCGCCTAAACGTTTGTCAAGAAGCGTCAGTTTTCGAAAAAACCGGTGAACTTTGTGAGGCAGACGATGTTAAGTTGTTGCTTTTCATAAGAATTGGGCATTGTAGTTCTTACTGCGTAACGCTATCAAAACAATGTACTTTTTGGAGATTCTTGTCTTGAGGTGCGTCCTTTGGGAGGATCCGGATTAGGATTTGTGATCAAAGATCACACAGATTACGGTGCATCGAAGAACCGGAGCTTTAGTTCATTGGATCAGTTATCACGACAGCAGGCGCGAAATTGTAGAGCGCGTCAACAGAATCGCGCGCTAAATTTAAAAACGAAAACAAGATTGCCGTCGCGTTTAGGGCAGCTTTTGTTTCTTTAATAGATGAACTTTCCGATGACTCAATACTACAAGAAGCGAGAAGTTGTGAAGATGAAGAATTTCTGCTGTATCTCTTGATAAGGAAGAGGCAGAGCCATATCCGCATTGAGAATTTGATAAATCACTGATCTGAAAATTGATTTGCTGGAAAGGAACGCCACAGATCAGAAATTCTTATCCGGACTCTCCCAGAGGAACGCACCCTTAGTTTCTTTAGTAATTTTGAACACAAAGCCGAAGGAGGACGACCAGCAAAGAGGTTTCTAAGAAATTTCTAGGGAACCCTCTCACAGTTCCTCCATCTTGAAAACATTTAGCGTAAGCTTTTGAAGAGTGTAAATTCCAATTTTACGCTTAACTCCGCCTGTTCGCCTTAGCTTATTCTTAATTCTTCGATGTTTTCTTAACCTGGCAAACTTCTAGTTCTTTTTAAAGTTCTCTCTCCCAGGAGTGAACAAACAGGAATTTTTCCTACATTATTGATATGTTTTAAAACAAAAAGGTGATGAGAGGAGAGAAAATTATCGACTAGGGGTTATTGTTTAGTGGAAGGGTCTAAGGCGATTACAAATGGGCTTATAATTACTCAACGTATGGCACCGTATAAATTATTATTATAAAAATCATTCGCAATTTTCAGGCACTTGTTAATATT